AAATTGTAATACGAATAGTTTGCCGCAATCTGAATCCGTGGGTTGACACAGCGAAGTTCCCTTCAATGGTTCCGGGGGATTTTATTAGGTATCAAACAATTTATACATCCCCTGATGTCAGTGAGTTGTGTAAGAACGAATGACAAATAATGGCGATATAAACGAACTAATGAGAGAGCGAACAAATTTGTTAAAAAATTTAAACTGTAATATGTGAAACACAACTCTCAGCATGAATTTTACATCTGTTAGAATCTGTAAATTTTTGCACACCAAATTTCAAAATGGTATTGTCAGGTTGTTTTATCAAACATTTTGCGACATGGTGCAAGAAATGGTATGCACATCAGAATCACAAAAACGCAAACGGGACACCTGCAATGTCAGTGGAAATCGGGGAAAATGTACAATAGACTCCGAGTTTTGAAATATTTGACTCCGGTTAGTAAAGAATTTCTCCTTCTCCTTCGGTATATATGTAACGTTGAAAACTCTTTGTAAACTTTCGAGTTTCTGGAGTAAATTTTTAACTTTATTATAATCATTGAGAGCATGTAATTTCGATTCCAACTACGTCACCGGGGAATTCAAAATTTCGAATCCGATTCAGGGCGGTTCGAAAATTCGACTACTTCCCCGATTTTGACTCTAGTGAAAACATGCCAAACTTCGACCTACACAGCCTTTTTTGCGCTCCACAATAAAAAACTTGAAACTTATTAATATCTATATTCTTTGTCTTTGTCCTACTTAAAGTAGTCGTACTGTTCACGTACATTCACGTACACATTTTTATTTACAATGACCAATATTTAAAATGCAAACTTTTTTCTACCTAAAGTTGGAAAAATAACCTCAAATATGATCAAGGAAATGTTCCAATCCCTGAGTGGATAACCCGACTGTACCCTTTGTGTTAATTGTATGTAACTATTTGTGGAAAGCTCTGAAAATTAAACAACATAAATTAACATTACCATTATTAGGATATCAGGTTTTCAATGTTTTAAAGTTTACGATATTCAAATATAGATTGTATAACTAAATCGATATTTAAAAGCAATCCTGTAATTACGAAAAACGGATTTATTAGTTTGGAAACAAACATTGATGTATTATTGTCTTATGTTCCTGCTACCTGATAATCAAACATTTGAATATTTCGTTGAATGCAGAAAACATCATTGTTACCCCGAATCTTTGTTTTCTACGGGTATCATGTTCTGCATACAATTACATCTCATTTTGACATCTTCAGCAAATTAGCATCATACACATGGACATTGTTTTAACAAAATTTATATGATTTGATTTTTATACAAAATTCAACATTTTGAATAAGCATTCTTTATCTAAGCATCTTTACATAATTTACGTTTACTGCATCAAAAATTAACATACTGGGAAATGAGGCTAATGTAATGAATATTACTAGGTAGTGTTTGATGGAAATTTTCACTATCAGGGGAATACATTCAGTTGAGGTCGAAGTGATATTGTCGGCTCCTGTCTCGAGTGTAAGCACGGATTGCTTATCCTTTCGCTGTTGTAAATTACTATTCGGTCAAAGATGTTTTATATCCAAAATGTTTTGTAACAATGAATGATGCTCAGACGAACATCAATGCACCGCAATGTCAGCACAACAATATTTGTACCGTTTGATATATAAAATGTCAGAAGAATTTGAAAAAAATGAAGTAATTGCTTTGCAATGAAAAGCTATGCATGGGATATACAAAGCCAAAGCATGGTTTCTATTTCGTTAAGCATAATGACTGTTAGACAAAACAAAAAACCCTAAGATCGGTTTTAAATTTCGAACTTTGTACCTTGATGCCAAAGTCCACTAAAATTTCATAGAAGCGAAACATTGCGAAAGACAACGTGACGTACAAAAATGTATAGATTAGAATAATTGCAGCTTTGCAAGTTCCGACTAAAATTTGAGTGGACAAAAGTATAGTATTGGCTAAATAGAGAAAATTTCGCCTCAATCGACCTAACATTTATACTTCTGAGAAATAATACCCGGTCAATACACTGTCATAGATAAAAAAGAGTCGGTTAAATATATAGCATATGCTATATATACCGAAAAATTTTAAATTGGCCAAATTTAACCACTAAGTATTATATACAAATATGTGATTTGGAAAGAAACATACATTCTAAATTATATTGTCAGACTGAAATGAGGACTATGTGATTCCAAATAACACGTTCTAGAACCATCACAAATGGTCTTAATCAGTGGTGGAATTCATTACCACGCGAACCCGTTCTTGGCACGTCATGTTAATCCGCGAACCTCCTCTTGGCATATTTGGCATTTAGATATTAGGGTGGCATTAGGTATTAATTAGATTTATGTATAGCGTGTCATGTTAATTTGATTTACATTGTGACATACATACATTTTCTCGAATGAGGGAGCGTGTTATTACTATTAGTGAGTTCGATACAAAAAAGAACTCGTCTTTAAAATTTTGAATCCAAGCACTTGCGTTAATATTTAATCATACCGCACTTTTATTTTTAGAAATAAACTTATTTTTCGCGTCTTCTATCATTTCTCTGTACCTTGATTTTAATCTAGTTTTATGACGATTCCGTGATAATATTTTAATAAATGATGAATGTGCACTTAAATCAGAGGTTCTGCTTTTTTGCTGTCGTGGCAGGACTTCATGTTGGAACTCTGTGAACTTCGCCCTTCCGCAAAATTTGAACTGTCATAAAAATTACGACCCCAACTATAGTTACACCTTTGTCAATATTAGTACTCGGTGTATCAATTCCTGTTTTGAAACATTGCTTTATGATTGTGTCAGAATTGAACACGTCATTCGGACTTTTGTACCTAGTTGTGGGCAAGAGAAATGGAATCGTGGTTTATAATTGAAATCGGTAAACACAGTCAAACATTTCAATATGGATTTTCTGTCATTAATCGAGACATGTTATATTATCAATATGAAATATCATATCCTATATCCTAATCGTGAAATAATAAATATTTTCTAACGTCTTTGAATATTTTGAGGTTTTCGAATACAAACCTTTATTTATGTCAGAAGTTATAATTTATCCCAAAAAAGTTCATGATTTTTTTAGGAGATATTGTTCCTAAAAAAAATTGATTAGGCATCTTAAATTTTTTCAAACATCATTTTGATAATCAACTAAAAGTATAAAACAAAACATCGTGATTGCGATGAGAATTGTTATTTTCAACATAATACTTGCGTAAAAAACTTTTAATTTTTTTGAGATTATTGTTTGATTATATATACTCTGGTTTGGGGGTCTACATGCCACAATCAAACGATTTGCAGGGTAATATGGAATATATTCGCAGTCTATAAATATTATAAGGATTATTCTAAAAGTTTATACTAACGAAATTAATAACTGCATTATTGTATTTCGTTTTAAGATGGTCACTCGAAAAATATTTTAGATACATCATAATTTTTAGGTCCTTTCTCGAGTTTCAATGTTTGTAGCACAATTGCGCATGAATAACGTAGTATGGATTGCAAAATTCGGTTTTTATTTCAAAATATTGGCGCGTCATCTGTCTGCGATTTCGGGCAATCTGAGTTTATTATTGATTAATTTCAGTCCTACTGTCAGCTGGAAGGTCAGCTGGCGATATTTCATGCAAAGATTAATGCTGGCAAATACTGCTAAATTTTCTGCAAACCTTTTTGCGTGCCAAAGTACAAATTTATCCTAATGGTGCTGTAGAATAGTTAGAATTCTCCTCAATTTTTACATAAATTATATTTTTCCCCTACGTCAACAATAAATATTTAGTTACAGCATCTAACGCGATATCAGAGAAATTTTATTTTTATTTTGTCAAGTATGTTTATTATTGCATTATGAAAAACTTTATCAATTAAATTTATTAAAATATGAGAAATAAAATAATTTTCAATCGAATACACAATCAAGATGATTTGAGAATCATTTCACTGAAACAAAGGGAATTGGTGCAACCAATGTTACGTAACAATAGTGTTTTTAAATTAGTCATCTGAGGTATTGCAAATAAAATGACAATTATATGATAATATTTCATTTACTTTATATATTAATCATGCTTGGGCCGTACCATTTTGTAACATTAATTTTTGAATGAGCAAATAGAAGTTTATTGCAATCACAGCAAATCTTTGCAAGCAGCCATAGGCTCCGACAAGCGGGTCAAAGTCCGGCGATAAATCGTCATCAGCAAACAAAGACGAATTCTGATTTGCTGAAAGCTTGATCAGTAAAACCAATTGAGCTGTAAATATAAATCGGACTTCGCTCCTTGGCATAGATTTCAACTCTAGAAGTATTTGCTAAAGATCTTAACCGAATTCTAGAACTTTATTCGGGATTAATTTAAAATAATTGGCCATGGATAAGACACTTATGTAATGAAACAACTATCCATTTAGAAAATGGTTTCTCGCCAAACAACAGCCACACCTGGGACACTGTATAACTTGTATAATCACCCTTGGCATACATCCGGCCGCGTACATTGACCATGAATTACCTCAGAATGCAGAATGTAATAAATGCTATATCTAAGTAGTTACTTAAAGCATTAGTTTCAATTGAGTTTTAAACATGACCGTATCATTTGCTTGAAATATAACACAAACACTTCGACAAACGGTCTAAAATCCTATTTTACAGAAGATATATATAAAAATTGAATTATTTTTGTTGAAAATGCTTTTCAAATGCCTCCAAAACTTGCTCATATATGATATATGCTTAATCATGTCGATAATGAACTTAAAGCGGTTTGGACTGGATTTCGTCTGCGCATGACATCAACAGGTCGAAGTCGAAAATAGTTTTGTTTGTCTGTTTATTACTTTTATCTTTTCCAGAAAGAGGAAAAAAGTATTGAGCAAGCTGCTTGCAACAACGACGAGAGAGAAGTCAAGAGATGTTGCAAAATCGAGAGACATCTGATGGGAGAGACGAGAAGTGAGAGAGGAGCGTTGAACAAATTTTGGACTAGGTATAAAAAGTGTTCAGCAACAGATTCAATTATTACGGGCGGCGAAGCGAAAGGTGAAAGGCGAAACACGAATACGAATATGGAAATGCACGCCCTATTGTTATCGATTTTACTTTTAACAATTCTGACTGGATCAGATGCAAGTGAGTGAATTTCATATCTTTTATTATTTAGTCGTGAGTACTTGCTATAAATATGCGAAGCCGTAACAAAGAACTGATATAATCATCACCCAGGTAGTTCGCAGTTTGATTCCTTGAAGAAATTTTGATCACAGAGTAACAGTTCTAAAAATATGGTAATGTGTAATTAGAAATCAAATTTAATTCACGAACGATATTGCCAATATTATCTTCATTTTCCGAATATTTTTTCGATAAAGAGTTCGTCTATAAACCTAAGGTACCGTAATTGAAGTACCGTACTGAAGTAACAAATAGAATACTGCTATTCGGCAAGGGAGTGTAGGTCCAAGATCGGTTTTAATTACGGTTCCACAATATTGAAAAGGATAATAAATTGTTCAATGTCACATAGATATTGTATTCCGGAACAGTAAAATATGAGAATTTCAATTATTTGCGCACAAAATGTTTTTGTAATCGGCGCTGAAGAGTACATGAAGTGACAATTTGGACATTTCTTTGTTCATCCATTTTTCCCCGCGCAATAAAATGCATATATGTTTGCACTTGATACTTGTACTGTGTTGAAGAGATTTTCGATATTTGTTTTCAGTTAAACTGTCAAAGCTATCTCGTTCTAATTTATGTCTAATTATCTGTCGTCGACATCGTTCGGTCTCTTGAGTCTAGCGATGTTTTCGTCGACGTCGGATAAGAAACTATAACACAAAACAGCGGTCGCACAACAAATAACATTATAAGAAACTGGGTCACCCCGCTCAGCATCGGCAAAAACATGTTACGCTGGTTGAAGTAGAGATTGGATAAGTCGATATAAAACTGCGATAAAATGCGTGAAATTTATTGAATTTTGTACGTATTATTAGTTTTGAGAGTACAATGAAATACTCATTGTTTCTGTGCCTACTAGACCCAGTTGTGGAGTGATAAAAGAGCCCTCAATGCGCATTCTATCTTTGACAATGCTTGATCACTTCATAAACTAATATTTGTGCCTGCCTTGAATGCATTTGGTTCTTCTCAACTTAGCAATGAAAGACAGATTACATTTCAATTTGAAGTAGGATGGTTTCAAAATAAAAATATTAAGTTTGCTGTATATAAAATGGAAAACGCTCATGGGAGTATAATTACGCAAAGCACCACCGTTTATAATTGAGTTCAAAGCAACACGGTCAGTTTTACAACCAATAATTCAAATTTCCTATAATTAACGATAAAAAATCACCTCTGGTCGAATGGAAATAAAAAAAAATTTGACACCAAATCGTGACGCTGTCAAATTTGCTAAATTATTTGCCTCGTACTATTTTGAGAGCAAATTACAAATTGCGAAATATTCAATGCAAACAAAATTGTGCAACACCAAAATCAATCATGTGCTTGTTTGTCGGTACGTGATGTTAATTAATAATTAGTATAAAATAAATATGAAGTGAATTAAACAAACATATATTGAATATTGGTATTTTTATTACTTTACTTTTCGCTAAATTCGATGCAAGTAAAATTACTTTGATAAATAATCAATTATGTAACATATTTGGGCCTGGCTTGGACTAGTTGTAATATTAGCTCGGAATATTAGTAGATTATTAGCAACTTTTGCTAGATCAATAATGCTAACCAATAAGACGAGCGAAGAAGTGATATTTATCTTCAAGATGGACTTTGTACAGATTTGTTTTGTTTTGATCACGGTTCTCTCGTTTTTCTTTGTTCGATAAATTGGTCTTCTCTCGTTTTTATTCGTTCGTCGAAAAGCAAAATTTAGGCGGCATTGGTCTGAATATTCCCAAACCGAAAACACAAAATTGAAATTATTCATATAAATATGATAATTTTATGATTCCAGTGATATAACATGTATTTCATGAAATACTGACTTATTTCTACTAATTATATTCTCGTTAAGTATTTGGTAAATCATTTTTATTATTCAAAGGAAAATCGTGGAACACGAATTACACAATTTAATTTTTTTAAATGCAATGAATCCTACCTTCGATAAATATGATTTGTATTATTATTATCCAGCGTTCTCGTGTTTTTAGTTTCGTTCCTGCTTAAAAACACCGGGCATTTCCCATCAGCTGGCCGGTCAAAAGAAAAAAAATAGACAAAATAAACTGTTATGTCAATATGGGGGGTGTGTTAATGACGTCATCGACATGATTTTACACGCTGAATCCGTTTCTCCAAAATATTGTTTTCGTCTGTCTTCCGTTTCACCGCAAAACTTGTTTTTATCCGCTTGGTGTTTTGCTCGCTCAGTTTATGAGGTTTTCCCCGTGTTGGTGAAGTAGCTTAATAGACTCTTTAGTTCAGGCACGGAATACCAATAAATTTAATATTAGATTATGCCCAATTTATGTCATGAATATTGTTAACAAGATGTTGTAACGAATATATATATATACATAATTTTGCTGATGTATAAGCAACATGTCCATTTATATAATTTTGAGTCTCTCAAAAACGAATTGGTGTAATTCGCGAAGAACACTTCATGTGGCGCATCACTTTTAGTATACATTCTACTTTCTTCTATGCTACATTTGCCTTGAGTTTTGAATCTATTCAACCTTTGGCATTGAATCCTATTCACGCAGGATTATCAATATCACATACTGCGCATATCTTTTTCGACAGATTTCATTTGTTTGTGCAATTCTTGTTTGTGTGGACATTTACCGTACCAAGTTTCAAATTCATATGATGTTTCTTTGTACTTCATATTAAAGCGACGTCGTAAACAGATCACAAAACTGCAAACATAGCTTACCGTTACCAAACATGTGGGCGGATAAGAGAAACGAGGTTTTAGTTATTTAACAAATAAAATACGACACGAACTTTCTGCAGTATATCAAAAAATCGCAAAAAATATCTAAAAGCTATGCTCTGTCTAATTGGCAACGGGTCTTCTTAAGCTTGTCCTTGAAGTTTTTCAGTTTCCATGACAATCGGAATAAATTATTTGATATCCGAAAACTGGTGAAATGAAAATGATGTTATTTGTGTTCACATTTGTCGACTTTTTGGCAAAGCCCGTTCCTTGCGCCTGGAATACGCCAAAGTTCTTTGTTGTCAAAAATCGCTTTGGATGATTCAAGCGAAAGACGATCACGTGATTGTAAACACGTGACGGCATTATGTCGGAGTAGCTCGCGGCGAATGGCGATAAATCTCGTTTCTTCAGAATTTGAAGTTGCCCGTATAATAACTTACGTGATTTTCTTATTTCAAGGATGCACGCCATTGATCTCTAACCATGCTTTTCTTATTAATTTTCACAGAGTCATTTGATCAACCGAACGTGTGCGCCGAAAAATGTTTACGTAAGTATATTAAGGCAAAAAATACAGAAAGTGTTTAATTGTTAAAATAAACTTCAGTCAATGGGGAGAGAAATTAGAATTAAATAGTGGAAAAATAACTTTTATAATACCATAATATTTCGGTTCAAATGTACCTTTCTATCAACACCTTTACGACATCAAATTTATAATGTATGTCGTGTTTTGTGCAGCTGGAAGGAGAAGTTTTTTTGAGAACGATGGATATGAATATTCATATAGCTACAGAACTGTTATTGAAAGCAGTTTCCACACGGATTCATTGAGCGATCAGAAGGCGCAAACAAGTATTGAAGTACCGTTTACAATACAAGCGGTATCGGATTGTGACCTAGTTTTACAAGTAAGTGGCTGAGAAGGCTCACAGTTTTATTCTAAAACTGAATTTAGAACAGCATATTCCGTCTCTATTTGCCGATTGTGATTTGAATATCGATTATATTAAACTAATAATTAAAAATATGTTATTAGTTGCCGATTTGTAAACATTCAATAATCATAACCTTTCATAGACTAGCCCCGTTTATAGAACTCATAATATAAAAAATGTTAGTTTGCAATGTGTTTATCATTTCATTGTTCTTGAAATTAGATTCAACGAGGAATCTACATAGACAATGGAATACCACGAACAGACGAAGAACTGGACTGGCAGGAAGCCATTGTTGCTTATCCTCTGCACTTCAGCTGGCAAGACGGGCTTATTGAAAACATTTGTCCAACAACCAATGAGCCTAATTGGGTTCTCAACTTCAAACGGGGAATCTTGTCTGCCATGCAAATTACATCAAGAACGAGTGCATCTGGAGTGAAAGAGGTAAATGAAGTTATTTTTAAACAGTGGTTTTGTCCATTTGTGAATATCAAATTTGATCATAAAATCTGTAAAAAATGTATTTTCTAATGAGCAAAAACTATATAAATATCAAATCTATGATCAAGTTATACACAACCCACCAATATGCCCACATTGCCCAGAACGAAATACTTACCAGGATTCGGTCTATAATACTGAATTTATTACAAGTCTGTGTGAGGTGGTAGGGATCGGTTTAATTTTATTTTTATAAGATGATGATGAGGTCATTATATTCATGTCTGACACAATAATTAAAAGGCCTCATTCGATGAGATCATGACCATACTTGGAGCAGATTTCTTGACCATATTATAACATTACTCATTTATTCTCACAGATTGATGTTTCTGGTAATTGTGAAGCTGATTATTTCGTCCAAGGAGAAGGAACAACAATGATCAAGAAAACCAAAGATTACACACAGTGTGAAAATCGAGACAAACATTTGTTCTTCTCTTGGGCAACACCTTATGAAATCAGCTCTGTAAGTCATAAATTCGAATAAATTTTCCCTGGTGCAATGTTTTGCTAAAAGTTGGCATCTACTTCCTTTTTCTATGTTCCCACTTTGTTATGTCTTCAAATTAAAAACAGGATACTTGAATAATATTGTGAATTCGCACAGTAATTTAATGACTGTATAACAGCAATTTGTACTCAAATTATGATTGTTTTTTGTGTGTGTTTTGCAGCCAAGACAAAGTTTCATCCACAGCATGCAAACTTGTGACCAGACATTGACAAATGTTTTACAAGGAGTAACTTGCACAGAAGAACATGTATTCAGACCATTCAGCACTGACGAAGGCGGAGCTAGAACTCACATTACCCAAGAAATCAGATACCTTCGTCAAAGACGAATCTCTCGTTCATCGAGTAAGAGGAGTTTAATATTACTTTATAAAGTGAAATATTAATTTATTTATATTTGGCACCTATAACCCCTATTTTTTGTGAAATGTTGTATTTTCCTAAAAATACGGTTCAAAATAATTAAAATGTTATCTCCATTTTCTCTCAGTCCCTCGATCTTCACTTCGACATACAACACTTGCATATGAAGAAGATCTTGAGACCGTTGAAAGAAATATGGCAGAATCTACTCAATCTGCCAAGAATCTGATGGACGGTTTATGTGCAAACATGCAGACTGAAGATTATCAAGAAGTATGAATATATTTCTTAAACAGTTGATAAAATTTTTGCAAAGATTGTTTCTATCTTCTTGATTTTATTTAGGTCAGCAAACAATTCATGTCTCTGGTATTTGCAATGAGAAAACTTGATTTCGATTCATTGTCCGAACTTCACTCTTACATCGGTGAATGTGCCAACTGGCATTCAACACTCAGGTAAGACAAATGATTAGTTACCCTATATATATATATGAGTGAAGTCACATGATGTTATTATATAAGGCAAAAATATACATCATGGACGGTCCTCTTACCAGAAAAACCTACTGTATCAAATTTTATCATGATTAACCTTGAAATCACATTAAATTGTATTATCTTTTTTGTTCCAGGGAAATGTTTGATGATGCTTTACCATTCTGTGGTACGGATGGATGTGTAAAATATGCATCTAATCTCATCCTCAACAATGAATTGAACAAAAAAATTGCAGAAAGGTGGCTGACTGGATTCAGTTTCATTAAAGAACCAACTGCAGAGATGATCTCATCTTTATTGGTAAGATTTTATTGTAATTATGATATCATTATAATCATTTTTAGTCATTGGTAAATGACAACATAATAAACTAAAAAAATACAAGGTTCATGAACCGTTTGCCAGTTACGGCTTCCTTCACCATCGTGTCATGCATCTGAAAACAAATAACTGACTAATCCCATACCCAACACGGACTGGTAACCGTACAAGAGATCGTGGTTCGCCATATAATTAAGCCCTCTTATCAACTTTCCTCTTCCTTAATTTAAATATGTAAAAAATATAAAATATATATTCTATATTGCTGCATTGATGATAATCCTTAATAATTTTCCTATTTGCAGGATGTCGTTGAAAGCAAAAAAATACCTGAACGATCCTTCTTAACGGTTGGATCCATGATTCATCAATATTGCGAAATTTCAGAAGAGAATTGCATGAACAACAATGCTATCCGACAAACAATTGAAATTCTGATGCAACATTTGGGAACAAATTGCCATAGCCCCAACCCAGAAACAAGAAAATTGGTAAGGATATAGATAAAAAACTATAATTGAGAGAGGGAATTGACTGCTTTAAAACACTGCTTTGTTCTTTAGATCATTTATGCTCTTCGTGCCATTGGAAACGCTGGACAAACAACAGAACAATCTGTTTTGCGAAGATGTATTTTTGAAAATGACAACTCCATGGAAATCAGGATTGCTGCAATTGAAGCTCATAGACGCATGCCATGCAGCGTTGATGTAAGTAATGTTTGAATTCTCATAAATAATACGAGAGGATAATTTGCATAATTGATGTTAATACTCGTTGGTTTCCGTTTTTGAGTATGAATATATACCAAAATTTAAACTGAATTATGTGGGTATCGATATTCCTAAAATCTTATTTTTGATGCGAATGATATGCTATGACCATGGGTTGAAATATATGATTTGAGATGGAATTTTTCTAATATTTCTGAATTCCATTTCTATAGCGATCAGCCTTGATGACAACATTAAGAAATGAAGATGCAGACTCAGAAATCAGAATTGCTGCGTACAAAGGGCTCATGCAATGCCCAACATTTGAACTTGTGAAAGATGTCAAAGACATTATAGAAATAGAACAAAATATGCAAGGTATTTTTTCGTTATGAATCATTAAATTTTCATAATATTATTAAATTTTAATATTTTAACATTTTTGTATGTTCTGATAATTATATCATCTTTTTATGTTAATTTCAGTTGGCAGTTACATCTGGTCTCACCTTACCCAAGTTCAAGAGTCCCAAGATCCTTTGAAACATATTCTTCAAGCTGCTATGGTCGGACACACATTCAAGGAATTCAGTCTCGATCCAAGAAAATATTCAAAATATTATGAAGGCTCTATGTTTTCTGGTTTGTAAATTTCTCTTTGAGTGTTATTATTGTTTGGAAATGACTAAGACTATTTTTATTATCGTTTACTTCGAAATTTAGAATTTTTTTAATTTTCATTTTTTTACAGAAAAATTCAACTCTGGTGCAACTGCTGATGCGAGCCTTGTCTGGTCTCCAAAATCTTTCATTCCACGCAGTGCATCAGTCAATCTTACAGTTGATGTATTTGGACAGGCAATCAATCTTTTTGAGGTAATTTATTTTCCAATGTAATGGTTGATATTTTGAACACTGTAAACAAATATATTTTCTTTACACATACAATTCTCTCATATTTTTACAGTTTGGTGGAAGAATCCAAGGATTTGAAAGCTATCTTCAATCTTTCCTTGAGCCAAAAGCTTTTGAAAAAAGACAAGAGAAAAAGAACTTGCAATCTGGCAGAAAGACGGTAAATATTTCACTTTGAAAATTACGTTGAATTTTGATCTTATTCACTGTCCCCATAGGTAAACAAGGTTTTTTTTCTTGGTACAGAATCCTTTGGATGAGGCACAAGCTAGTTGGTTTATGAGAGTTGTCGGAAATGAAGTTTTGTATGGGAACACTGAAATGATGCCACGAATGGAAGAACTTGAATCATCCAACTTTTTGGTTGAATTTGCATCAAAATTCATGAGTGTGAGTACCACAAAAATAAACTTTCCTAATTTTCATTGTTTTTGAAAAACATATTCACAATAACTAATGTTTTTCTAGGATGAAGGATACAATTATCATGACGACTCTCTGCTCTTGAACACTTTCAACAGCCTGCCCACTGGAATTGGTATGCCACTGCAAATTGCCTTCAACGGAACAACCAGCGTTGATATTAATGCTGCTGGAAAATTTAACATGGGTTTTGGAGCTTCTCCAGAATATTTGATCAAAGGCAAAGTTAGCCCAAGGTTAGTATATCAATTTCAAATTCCTGTTGTTTTTTCAAATTTATCGATATAATTTTGCTAATCTAATGGCCGATGACAAAAAGTATCTATATGATATGTTTTTGTTCTACAGAGCTGCAGTCACCATCAGTAGTTGGATCGTTGTTGACACTCATGTGAAAAAGACTGGAATTGCCACAGAAAGCACTGCTTACTCTTCTTCATCAATCAGTGGTTTCGTCAAAGTGTTGAACAAAGGCAAAAATGTTGAATTGGAACTTGACACACCATATAACAAAAATGTATTGTTTAGTACAAGGTAAGCTCAATTTTAAACTCATTACTCATATTTGGAATTTGATTGCTATATAAAGTAATATTACTTAGGTAATTCAATATTCATGAAATATCGAACTTCATTTACTTGAGTTAATTCAAAACTTCATTTTTAGCCATAAAGTTTTAAGAGTAGAAGGAAACACCATAGAAGAGATGAAGACCACTGAGTTATATCCACAAAACACATTTGTTAGAGATTGCACAGAAGAATTCCTCGGCCAAAGACTTTGCTACACACAGAGATCAGTCAGTGATAGATACTCAAATGTAAGTTAATTTTTTATTAAAATATATTTTGTATATAATAAGCCAATGTTTTGAAATTTTTTACATTTGTAAAAAATGTAATATTCACAGCCATGGTATAAAAAGAACGATAATTTTTACTGAAACTTACTTGCTTTTTACTTATTGTTTAATAAATAAGCTTATCATTGATGTTTTGATGTTCAGGGTGCACCTACTAACTGGATTTATCCAGTTGATGGAGGAATTGAGATTTCTGCTTACATTCAAAAGATGGACCCAGATCTTACTAAATACACGATCTCTGGCAATAGTGAAAGCATTTATGAAATGGTAAGAAATATTTTTACAAATATTTTTCTGAAAACTATGTTTCAACAAAATATGCATCCACATATGAATTTATAATCTAAAATGAATACTAACATACTTTCTGAATGAAAATCAGTACTAAAAACTGTTGTCTGTTCTGAAATTTTCAGGAGAGTGACTCAATACCTTCAGAAATGATGGTTCAAATGGTCTTTGACACACCAGGATCAAGAGTCAACCGCAAAACAACAGTGTTTGGAACATACAATCTACCAAAAATGGAATTTTCTGTTCTTGCCCAGCAGGAAGAAAAGACATTGCAATTAGAAGGTACGTGTCATGGCATTTGTAAAGGCTGGGATACAATTTCCACATATACAGCAATCAATTTTAATGAAAATATTCACAATTATTTTTATTATTTATCATATATTTATATTACATCATTTATATTACATCATATTATTTATCGTTGCAGGAAACTACAAAAACATAGATGAATCTCATGAAGCAACCATCAAAGCACTTTGGAATGAAGACACATACAAATTCAATGTAAATTTTTTAATTTTTGACTGTAAAATTATTAAACCTTTTCCAAGGCAACATAATATTACAGACTGCTTTTAATCTAATAATATTTGGATCCGTCTTACCAAATATAATTTTTAACAAGTGTATTTTTATTACAGGTCAATTTGGACAAGAACGTGGATGAAGATGGTAGTGAATGGAGTGCCAATGCAGTTCTTCAATTGCCTGGTAAAACAATGTCTGCTAAATCATCAATGGCAGTAGACCCAGCAAAGAGATTGAAAGCTTCTTTTGTTATGGACAATGTGCTTCAATCACCAATTGTGATGAAACGTAAGTTTCAGATATTGTGCAATTTTATTTTTTGGAATTTAATGAGGGATTTTTAATTCTGATTTTCTTCTTCGTTATATACTTGAGTTTTTGAGTCTCAAAGGTCTTATTGTCAACATGATTATTTTTCTCACAGTTGACCTTCAAGACAAGTCCAGGAAAACTGACAAGCTTTCATACTCTGGAGAAGCCAAGTTGTCCATCCTTCCATTCATCAATACCGAATACATGATCGATATGGACCTGAAACCAAAGCTTGACAATTTGATGTTGAACATGAACTATAAGATAGGAGGTGGTCGTAAGGAGAGGTATAATGTGTGAAGAAATAATTTCTTTATTTTTGAACACGGAAATAGTGTTCAAGCTATGATTCCAAATTTTGCTAGGTCAAAGAGCGAAATAGCAATAATTTAAATTCAAGGCACTTCAGGAATTCACTATATTACAAAGTAAATCAGTAGTTCGCACATATTAGTTTATTAAATACGCTACATGTATTATTGTATTGATAAATCAAAAATTCTGAAATTGATTTGACCATTGATTACAAACTAGATAATTTCATTTAACTAATTTCTTTCTTTAGCATCTTGCTTCATCATAAGCGAACTAGTGTTGGAAGAAAATCTGAAACAGATTGGACAATTTCTCAAATGCTCACATCATCCCAATTCCCATCTTTGAACCACAAGGTAGCAGTCTCTCATAGGTATGTCAAAGGCTCAACATCAAGCTCAATTGACATTGGATATGGAACTCAACTTGAACAACCAAACAATCCATACAAATTGGAACTTCGTCAAGAATACACAGACAACAGTGATTCATCAAAAACAGACATCAGTGGGCAATTTTCAATCAATGTACCATATGTTGAAATGAATCGCGAATTCCAATTCGAACATCTTCAGAGTAAAGAGATTTTGAGCTCAAAAATAAGAAGTGTTTGTGGTGAAGAAAAACCAAAACAGTTTACTCTAATATGGCAAGACAATGCTCCTAAATCTGAATTAATGGACAACACCTTTGAACTTGGATTCTCAACAGCTGTCGGGGATTGGCACTGGCAAGATAACATTAGAGAAAGAGTCAAAAACGTTTACAACTCAAAATCAACTTTGAGTTTGGGTGCAGAAGACTCCCTCAAATTTATTCAAGAATCAGAGTTGGTTATGAAAGACACCAATATGAGTTTCTCTCTTTCAATAGTGAAAGGGGATGGATCGAAAATCATTACAGGATCCACTGTCAACACAATGGAATCTGAAACAAGATACATCAGCAAGAACTTCATTCATCTTCATGGTTACACACCAAGAGGTCTTGACATCATTCACGATCGTGTTCCATCTGATGGATATCCAACAACTGTTAACTTCTTGGCATCAAACATTGTCCATGTTTCTGTTAAAACAACCTACAGACCTTCAGAAAACGGCAAACACATGACTTTCATTGTTGAACAGGATGATGTAGAAAAGAGGATTGTATCTGCTGAGGCAGGATATGATTTTGTTGATGATGAAATTGACATGTATGCAAATCTGAATGATAATGGTAACATGCTTTTCAGTTCCCATATCATTGCACAAACACCATCAACTGAAAGTGGAAAATTTTCAGTGGAATTGAAAGAAAAATTGTCACCAAAGAACATGGACTTCAATACCACCATCTCTTACAGCATGACTGATAAAAGCAAGGTTACTTTCTTCCACAGAAATGAACAAAAAAGTGTACAATTTGAAGTGAATGCTGCTAACAATGGAATTCATGGTATCTTGAAACACAACTTCTGTGATTACATGAATGATGCAACATACAACATTGCATTGACATCGGCTGGTGCCGCTGTCACTGTATCAGCCGATGGACATCAAGCTCATGTAAATATCATCAAATCCACAAACATGTTGGAGATGAAATGGGATCACGATAGAATGCCAGACCTTATGAACATGAATGTACCAACTGCTGCAAACATGGTTATCGGTAGAAATACAGATGAAACTGCTCCAAAGAAAATGTGGACAACTGTCAATTTTGAAGATGATGTCGTTTTCGATATGTCATACTCAGTTGAAAAACCTCGTTCTGGCGTAACAAAGAAGGTTTCAATGAGCAATACCTTGCTTCCTATGATTCCAGAAAGTGCAAGATGGGCTATTACTATGGATGAAGTGAGTTTACAGTCAGAAGCTGAAATTGGTGAAGAAAGTATGACATTTACAGTTACGACCAGTTTCCCAGAATCTGCGTCAATGAAATTCACACGTACTGCAGGACTCACTAGCTGTGATTACATCCCAGAAAATGTGAAGGCTTCCTATGAATATAGTTCTGAACCTCATACAGTTAACCTTAATATGGAATTCGGAGAGAAATCTGCTTCTGTGGAAACTACTTATTCTCCAGATTTTATCAAAGCTAGTTTAACCATGAAAGGCATTGATAATGTACCTAAGTATACATCAATTGAATTGAGAAGCCAGTTAACTACGAGTCCACGAACCATCGATGTTACTGGAAAATGGAATGATGATATCTATATTGCCAACATCAAACATACTTTCGATTACAAGGAAACAAGCGAATCAAACCTCCCTTACGTATCTTATATTGTAAACCATGAATTAAACGTTGATGGCTTTAAAAATGGCGTCAAAGTCGTGGATTTGGATGATGTATTTGAGATTAACAAAGAACAAATCATCTATGATTCAGAACTTGTTCAAACTGTCACTGATTATTATCCACGCCAAGTTCATAAGAGACAAGTCCTTACAATTAATGACAAGGAATATTCATACTTCGAACGTTCAATCATCACAGGATTGGATCCAATGGAAATGGAGATCAAATACACCAAGAACAAATTGGAATTCAGCCAGAGCATTTCCAAATCACCCATGGTTCCTAGTTACTTGTCTCTAAAAATGAGAGAAAAGCGAGGAGTGAATCGTATTATCATGGAATGTACTATGGACGGCAAATCAAAAACATCAACTCTGTCCTACCAACTCAATGATGATAACATGGAAATGTCTCTTGAACATGATTGTGAAATGATGGCGGAATATGTTCCAAAGCATGTAATCGCATCTTTAAGCTGGGCTGAAAACATCTTGATGTCTTATGAATGGGGAGCAGAAAATGGACAAGTCAAATTATGGAAAGATTCAATTACAAATGCAGGTGTCTACGTCAAACTACATGCAAATGATATTACATTCAATTTCACTTACGGCATGGAAAATGGCATTGCATACTTGTATGCATTGGTAGGATATCAAGATCAAAAATATGTTGGAGAATTCTGTGGTGGATATGTTAAAGGTGATGATTCTCCATTGTTCGGAATTTCAAAGGTATTCGTTATTGCTGAAGTTTTTGTAAATGAAAAGAGGGCTATCACTGCCAACACTTTGGAATTCCACAAGGACTATTTGCTCATCAACACAACCAATATGCAAGATCTATTTGAGAACTTGCCACCAAGTTATGTCTTTGTGAAGAAGTTCAATTGGGCCATAGATGATAGCAGTATTGAAGTCACTATTGAAGGTTTAGATGACGATTCGTTCTTATTCACAATTTCTGCAAGTCATAAGGGTTTCTCAACTGCTAGTATTGGAATGCAACACAACCAAGATTGGGAAATATTGCCAAAGCAGTTCGGTGTAAAGTTTGAAAAAGATTGCACTGATGGTGACCATTCCGGCACACTAACCATTAATACAGATTCATGGACAAAGGCAATTTCACATAGACTCCAATACGGTAACTCTGATGAAGGTGTTTATGCAAAATATGCTGTAAATAATGATTTCTCAACTTTGGGAGGCTATTTCGAACTACCATCTCATTTCTCAATTGACTTTGGTGGCAGCATAAGTGATACAACTCTTGATTATCATTTGAATATGTCATATGATGATTTAAGTTCCGCTGAAACAATGCACGCAGAGAAAACAGATAATGGCTTCAGTGTAACATATGATGTAAAACAGAATGCGACCAGCAAGCTTCCTGGAGTTATTTCATTGAAATTTGGTGGCAGCCGCACAGACACTGACATTGATTGGAGCTTCGATTTGACTGCTGACGAAAAGAAGGCCGTTGAAAAGTTACATGGGACCATATCTGATACTGGCTTCACCCTCACATACAGCTTAAATCAAGATGTAACAACATACTATCCAAAAACAGCGAGTATTGATGCCTCTGGGAATAAGGACAAATCAATTACCTTTGACTTGAAAGGAACCAGTGATGACAAATCTATCACAGAACACTTGAGCTTAGACAATGTTAAATTGAGCGAAAACTTCAACTTCAAATACACATTAAACCAGGATATGCTAAGTTGGTATCCAGAAAAAATTTCAATGAATGCGGTTAAGTCTGACGGATCATTTACGGGAGATTGTTCAACAACTATGTCTCCAAATTCATTCACTGGATCTGTAAAAGCTACATGGTCTGATAAAGATGTCAGTTTCTCTGCAAATTTCAGCTGCGATGAAAATCCAGAAACACCATATCATATTGAGCTTAAATGGACCAAGAACGACGCATCCATGTTTGGCAACATCGAATTTATTCACAATTTTGATGAAATTGTTCCATTACCAAAAAAAATGGGTCTTGAGGTTGAGCCCGGTACAAATAACATGAACATTCTTCTCAACATTGATGATCATAAACGCAAGATTGAAATGCGCAGACGACAAGATGATGGTGCAATGGAATACAATCTGAGACACAATCTTGAAATGTTATCAGACTACAATTTGCCAATGGATGTTGGCGTCAGCTATCAAAAATCTCCATTCACTAGCTCACTCAAGTGGGGTTCAAGTTCATTGGGTGCTCGATACGAACCTGAGCAGAATTTATTGAATGTCGATGTTTCTGTTGCTGAGGTTCAAGGCAAAATTTCTCTGCAAAAAACAATGAATGAGGAACTGACGTCGATGATTTTCCAACATGATTTGAGCGCATTGTCAGAATACAACTTACCAAACGACTTCACATTCAGTTATCAGCTCACACCATTTACTGTCTCTGCAACATGGGGCGACAATGAAATCTTCGTCATGAAATCAGGACAAGAATTGAAACTTAGACAAAATGTTTTTGAACAACTTCCACAGTACTTGGTCTTGAATTGCAACTGTGATATGTCATCAGAAACAAAACTGATGGAACTGAAAGGAAAACTCGATAGTTACAGTTTCTATGGAATATATCATCATAACATGGTCGACACCTATACCATGAACCTAATTTGGCAATTGATGCAAGATGAAGATACATTAATAGATTTGTTTGTTGATACTGATATGATTCTTTCAGCTGGACACTTGAACACCACTTTCACACAGACACTTACAGATAGCGTTTATGACCATTTCAGCTTCTATACCAAGTTTAACATCCAAGAAACATCAGGAACTGTATCTGTGGCAACTAACATCGAAGAACCCATAGATTTTGTTATAACTTACAGTAAAGTCACAGACTATCAATACAATGTTGTCATCACTCATAATGTTGAAAGCATTGTTGATACATTGCCATTGGAAACTAGCGGAACTCTTACTATGACCTGGACAGAACCAAAGAAGGGTATTGATGTTACAGTTGTATCTGCTGATCGAAGAAAATCTTTCTCTTTTAACATATTAAGTGATATGGGAGAAGACAGCAAACAAATAACACTTGTAATGTCGCATGACTTCGATATGTTAGAAAGTGAATTGTCTGTTCCGAAATCAGCATCATTTAAAATTAAAAAGACATCAAACAGTGGTGACATCTCTCTAACATACAATCTTGATTCAACTGAAAAAGAAGCCACCATTGATATTGATTTCTCAGACTCCATGATTCGTTTTAATGTTGATCAAAACATCTTGGAACCTGCATCTCGTTCACGAAAAGCTACTTTTGACATTCCGCAAAAGGTTTTGATTTTATTGAACAAAGACTCTGATGTCGGAAGATACAGATCTAAGATGTCATTCAAATCTGGACAAAAACGAAGATATTTCAATGCTGAACTGAACACTGACGATAATGCCTGGGATGTATCTCTGTCGCACAATCTTAACAGAGTTTTACCAGTGAAATTACCTTCTAATATGAAATTTGAAGTTAATTGGAATGCAAGTGCCATTGATCTAGCTTTGAAATTGGATGACAATGATTATGCTTTTACTTTCTGGCGTGTTGCAGAATCAAGCAAGGTCGGGTCTTCATTTACCCACAATGATCATTCTCTCGTCAGCAAAGGTGTCCCTCAAACTGCCTCAATGGTACTCAGTAAAGATAGCAACGCTGATGGAGATTTCGTTTCCGCTGTATATTCTGCCAACGGTCATTCATCCGCAACTGTGTCAATTACAAGAGCAGCTAAAAAGATCAGCATGATCTTCAACTCTGAAGGTGATTCATTTACAATCTCTTCCAACATTGTTGCAATGCTACGAGACAATGGTGTCAGCTTTGGTGTCACTGGAACACAAACCGGCCTCGAAGAATTCTTGCCAGAAAATTTTGAAATCCACTCTTCTGCTTCCTATGCTAAATCAGAATCAATGTTGAGCACAAGTTTCTCTCATAACATTCCTATGTTGAAAGACTATGGATTGCCTTACCAAGCTAACTTTGAGATGAAAATACCTGTTTTTACAGCAGAAGGTACATTGAAAATTGGATTCTCTGTTGAAATTGATGACTTAGTATTCTCTGAAAACTCCATAAATTTGGATGTGAAATACACCGCCAGCAGTATCGAAATAAATGTTAATGGAATGCGAACCAGAAACCTATGGTCAACAACATCTTCAGATAAACTGGCATATGATGGAACCTGGAAAGTTGAAGTAACCACCGAATCAGATTTGCAGAAATTTGACTTGCTTTACACCTTGAGGGAAACTGACACTAATAATCAAGTTGTTCGAGACCACAATTCAAATGTTGTATTGACAGTTCAACCAGATTCAATTGAATGGGAATTGAGATCAAATGCTTTTGTTGATGAACAGATGACTTCAACTGGTACAGCTACTCGCAATGATGGTACTTATACTTTGAAACTTGCCATCAACCAAGGAACTAATATTGACTATTCTGGTAAACTTCAAATTTTGACTGGGGAAATATTCGAAATTCATTATTCTGATGAAGAAAGAAATACATTCAACATTGTTGTGAACAAAGACAGTGCTGAACAATTTGTTCTTTCTCATAACATCGAAATGATCACATTCATTCCAGAAAGCATTATCACATCCTTGGACATTGAAGAACAAACATTTTCAATGAAAGTAACAGAGAATAGCAACAAAATTGTTCTTCTCGTAAAACCAAGTTACATTGAATTGACAAGAACTTCACCTGATATGCAACCATTGTTTGTTTTGAAATCTGAATATGTCAGCCACCCATCACACAAAGTTACAAGTGAATTCAAAATTCCTGAATTGAGCATTGACTATTCATCTGCAGTCGAAGTACATTTCTTCAAGCCTGGAGATGGAAGATCACTCATTAATATTGATATCAAAGACAATGCAAATGAAAAATCATTTACTGTCAACAGTCATGCATTCTTACAAGACAGAGATATCAGTGATTTGAACATTGTTGCCAATATTGACACTGACATGACCATGATTCCATTCAACTTTGCTTTTGAATACATACTTCAAAACAGTCCATACAACTTCCGAATGCATCTGAAAATGAGAGAATATTCTTTCACAACAACCAATGAAGAGAGATCTTTCGAGACTACAGTAACTTTGCCAAAATCTATCAGAATCTATAAATTATCAGTATCTGGTGATTGCGTTGAAGTAAGAAATGGAAATGAGAAATCTACCATCTCTGTGCAATGGAATGACGACCAAACAATCAGCTTATCCACGGTTTCAAACTTTGAATCAGATAGTCACTTGTTTAACTTCGATATCAGACAACCGTTCATTGAACCAGATCAACTTTCTGGAAGTTATACTTTTGAAAAGAGTGGAAGATGGAATGTTGTGAACATCGAAATGACTGACAACACAAATCCATTTACAGTTATGGCAAAATATTCAGATTCCAAAGAAAATACTCATGAAGTTGTTGTCGACGTCGCTCAACCATATGATCATGATTATATCCCAAAACACTCCGTAACCACTGGAACAATTTTATACACCGACACAGTTTATAACAGTGACTGGAAGATAACAGCCAATAATAAAGACATTGTTACTTTCAAGAAACTCTTCCAATCCAACAGTGACGGATATCATTTTGACCTTCACTGGAGACAACCATATGAAGAACTGTTCTTGACATCTTTGGATATTTCACATGACATCAGGGAAACTGACAATGGTATGGAAGTTATTGCTGACATTAGCCACTCTGGTGATGATACGTACATTCCCAGTCACTTTGTTGCCACTCAAACTACTACAAAAACAGACACCTTATACCAAAAAATAAATAAGGTTGTAAGTGAGGGCCAAGAATTAGCTAGCTTGAAACAAACATTCAAAGTACTCAATGATGGTTACCAAGTAAGTCTCAGTTTAAGACAACCACATGCTGAATTTGGACCGACATATTTTGACACCACAGCTGATTTGAAACTTGGTTCAAATGGTATGAGTTTAAATGTGGATGTTGAACAACCTTATGACAATATTTACATCCCGAAAGAATTCACAAGCAAGCATATCATCAAATACAATCAAGGAATGTATGACAGCGACTTTAAGATTATCAGCAATGGTGAAGAATTGGTTGTGCTTAAAAAGTATTTCGAAGCAACCGCGAGTGGTTATACTGCTTACTTGCACTGGAAACAACCTTATGAAGAATTTGGTGCTACATCATTTGACACTACCTTTGATTACAAATTGACAACATCTTCCAAAACGCTAAACAGTGATATCAGTGTAAATGACCAAAGCAAACTGGCTGTAGAATATTCATGGAATCAACCGAACTCCAATTCTCAGAACACAAGTGTGGCTGTCATTGTTGATGGGGAGAGGTATGAAAGCAAGTGGCATATGAGCACTACAGAAAGCCAAGTCTCTGGCAAGAAATGCACTTTTGTGTATGACAACCAAATGCCAAAACTTGGTTTCCTTCCTCCATTTGTACCAACACAACAACATTTCAGTTTGACAACTTTCCGCAAAGATGCAAATGCTCACTTTACAACCGTCTACTCTTCTAATTTGATCAAAAATCCAGTTCAGATTGAAGGTATGTACATATTACACACAGGAAACAAACTGTTCGATTCAATGCTCAGTTTCAAATCTGGTCCTGAAAGCAGTGCACTCGCTGATGCTGAAGTTCAATTCACCGTAGACAATGTTGAAGGTGTAACCATGTCAGCTGTGATACCACCAATGGGATTCGATCGAGTTGCTAATGTTAAATATGACCAGAAGAAAATGATTGTCTCCATGAAATACATCGTAGATGGAAAACAACCAGTTGTCGTCAATGTTAATTTGAAACAGATTATCCCCAAATTAAATGCTATTTTGGACATTCTAAAGAACAAAGAATTGTTGCCAAAGATTAAAATCATAGGTGATTTTGAGCAAGCATCATCTGCATTCAGCGGATATATTGGCATTCAAGTTCGAAACACACCATACACTATTCACTTGGAGACTGGATTCGAAGACGAAAAATTCTATTTCAATGTGACAACGAAACGCCAGTTCCGTAAACTTGATGATGTTTTGAGTATCACTGCATATTCAATCGATGCACAAAATGTACAAGTACAGATAATAACGAGCGAGAAACTTGGACGTATGCTTACTATGGTTACTGCATCTTGTCATGCTGAAATGAAAGACAAAGTTGTAATGGCAACTGATACCATCATTGAGCTACTGTCATCATTAGATAGTGTTGTACAAGGCTCAGAAATGGTGCAAGATTTCATTAACAAATACAAGAATGTTGCTATCACATATGTAAATGCCGTAAAAGTTACACTGATTAATATGATTGATAATGCTAACACACTGACACGTGGAACCCTTCTTATGACAGAAGAAACAGTTGGTTACGGTTTGACAACATTGATTAAAATCATTTCGACACAAATCGAGAAACTTCGTGATTTTGTAAGCCGACCATTGCAACAGATCAAGGATGACTATCTCCTTCAAGTTTCAACTGAAATATACAACTGGGTGCAACCAAAACTTCAACCATTAACTGACAAACTAAATCAAGTTCATGCTGGTCAATTGCTTCTCGAATTGGTACAAGAAGGTATAACAAAGACCATATTTGTGATGGAAAAGAATGTTGAAGCCATCTTGACAGCCAGCAGACAACCACTTGCAAAGATGGTCGAACTCAGTGAAAACAAAGTCGTCATCAATATTCCTCTGCATATTCCGGTGAGTAATTTCATAATTATAATTAATTAAATTGAATCAATAAAATTATTATATTTTTCTTTAATTTTTAATATTTTAAATTTTAGGTCAAGGGTCTTATTGCCCCACCAAGCATCGCTGACATATCTTTGTGGATTGCAGAGAGCTCTCTTGCTCATGAACTTGATACCAAATTGAAGATCTTGTACAAAGCTGTTGATTTATATTATCAATACAGATCAATCTTGAACATGCCACTAGAAGAGATTATTCCACCATTCAAGGTTTGTATGCCATTATTAGGAATGAAAAGTTTTTTTCAATCTTAATACATGCTTTCTGACTGGCTGATAGAAAAATCATAGAATACTTGTCCAAAGGGAATAAATACAGACATATCTATTTTTTGTTTGATATATTATTCATATAAATTTCATCTTTTATAGGGACATGCAGAATTGTCTGGATTCCGTCATTTCCACACTTTCGATGGAAAACGATACGATTTTGCAAGTAGATGTGACAGCAAGCATATATTGTTACATGACTTTGCTGACAATGAATTCCAAATTTACGTCACATATGGAAAAAATCCATCCCTGACTGTCACCTCATACGATCCTTCTGGAAGACAACAATCTGTTGTGATGAGACGAGACTACAGCATTACTGATGAAAATGGTCATGATATTCCAATGCCAATGGGCTATGCCGATGTAAGTGATTTGTATTATACCGTATGTGTATTTCAATTTCATAAAAAAATATAGTTACTCAGTAATTTTTATATCATTCAGTATTTGACTGATAAATAATTTGGAAATTCATCATAATTTTATTATTGCCACGTGTGACGTTTCTGAACCTACGGTACTTATATCATGAACTAGCCTTATTTAAATTAAATTTCATCTTGATTTTTTTCTTTAATTCAAACATTGTACAAAACTTATAATGGTGACACACTTCTTGTTTCTAGCTTGTTTTTAACCAATGTTGATAATTTCTGTCATATCTCGATTGAAAATTGCTTTTATCATCAGGTATCTGTGAAGAGAACTGGTGAATTTGTGACATTGAAAACAGTCTATGGTTTAGTTGTGTCATGCAACTTTGTATCTGATCTCTGTACAATTGATATCTCACCATTCTACTTTGCTGGAGTTTCTGGTATGCTTGGAACATTCAACAATGAGATTAATGATGACTTCACAGGTCCAAGATCTTCTGAAATCAATGACTTCGAACAACTTGCTCAAGCTTGGATGGTGAGTTAAATTTAAAGTATTTTTATTATTTTCTAAATATATTCGAAAATAAATTTTGTTTTATTCAGCAATTGATAGAAATTAAAATTTGATTCATTATTTTTCAGATTCCGGGAACTTGCAATGGAGCGAATATGGAGGCTGAATGCACTCAAACTGCCAGCGATGCATGCACTCAATTATTTGAAGGAAGAACCTCAAAATTCTTCTCATGCTTCTCTGTGGAAGATCCTAAACCTTACAAAAAGATGTGCATTAGAGATACTTGCAGTTCATCATCAGTAAGTAATTTAATATAGTAAATTATGCTAATTCACATCTTTTCCCCCTAACAACGCTATGTACTGGTCTCCACTGATATCTAACTATTTCCGGTTCTGCATTGCCTCACAATTTATTACACCCCTGATATTGTGGTGGGAATGAGATTTGAATACAACCTTCAAGTACTAGGTCATCACACCCACAAACTGCTAATTCATTTTTCTGATAAGCATATGAAAGCTTTTGTTTCGTTCATTGAATGTATTTATCTTTCACAGGCTGGAATTTGCACTGCTGCTGCATCATATGCAAGACGTTGTGCACTTCGTGGTGTCATTTTACCTACACCAGAAAGCTGCAAGAAATGTATTTCAGCCAGAGGCGATGCTTTCTCAAACGGTCAAGTTCAAGTTACTGGAGCTGATGTCGTGTTTGTGATTGAAAAATCAGGATGTATCAGGTATGCGGATTATTTGTTATAATATAAGAAGTTATTTAAAGTTTGAAATATGAAAAACAGAATCATAAAAGGTTGATGATCCATGTAATTAAGAGGCAACTAATAAATTTTTCAAATTTTATAGATTCAAGAAGAAGGATTATAAGAGGTTTTTGGGTAAATTGCATAAGACCTTGAATGAAACTGTAGCAACTGGAAATCTGAAATATGCTGTCGTTGGATTTGGAGGACCAGAAGGATATGCAGAACCACATACTATTCCATTTGACAACGAAATCTTCATGCGAACTGATATAGTAATGGCCCCAGTAAGTGAATATTGATATTACAACAAATTATCCCACCTTATCATAAATAAGAACTTTATTTAAATGACGTTTTCATTTTACAGGCTGATGAAAGGGCTCTCATTTCTGCTTTCCGACTCAAGGAAACAAGAGGATCTGAACCAGCAACACCAGACGTTATGCAAGCAATCAGTTACGCTTCGCAACTTCCTTTCAGAGCTGGAGCCGCAAGAACCATCATCTTAGTGACTTGTGATGAGTGTGGTGCAGAAAGCATGGTACGATATGTGTTAGTTAAACTTAAATTAATAGTTAAATAATTAAAATCTCATGGAATGGTGGTAATATGATGGTATATTTCAGATTTGTAAATTTTACATTCAATTAATTTTTCAGGTTGACAAGAGCAATGTCCAAGCAGTGTTACAAGAGCAAGGAATCATAATTCACCATCTTAGACAAAAGAACATTCAAGCTGGAAAAGGTTCCAAGAAGGTGAAAAACAGTTTAAGATTTTGCCAAATTTTAACAATTTCAATCTTTGCCTGTGTTTAAAATTCATGCTCATTTTTATCTTAGGTATATGGATTCAATCCTACTGAAATATTTGCCAAAAACGACGCTAACTATGCAAGAAGTGAATTGAAGGTTTCTAGCACTGATCAATGTCTTCCATTGGTTGATATGACTGGAGGATCTGTTTGGAATTCAAACACTTTCGGCAGGGTAAGAATATCTTGTTTTTGTGAATATTGAAATTCTAATTTTTTAATAAAAAATATGATTTTAGGATTTTTATATTTTACGAATTTCCCGATTTTGACATGAAAATTAGCTGCAAACAAGTTTTATAATATTTGTTCTTTATTTATAGGAATCATTGCAAAATATCGTCAATCAAGTTTCCACCGGAATAAATTCAGCAACTAGACAAGAATGTGTATGCAGCATTGCCGATAATGGATCAGCTACATCTAAATGTATTGCTTCATAATTTTGCCGAATAATATGGTAAGTTTTTTGGAAATTTTTTTTATGTTAAACATGAAGATAATAAGGAAAATTTCACCAGATATGACGTACATCTTTTGAATGAATTCTTCATCTAAAATGAACAAAGAATACTAGTTTTGAAATTTGATCATGGCCGATTGAACTATTTTTCTATCTCAATATGTCTGTACTTTTAATTAGAATTATTTTGAAAATTCTGCCTTTAACAGTATTCTTTTATTTTTCAGACTCTCATCTGATATTACAAATGCAAAATCGAACATTTATCTTTTTCAATAATTTCTTTAAAAATTTTGTGTTTTTATGATTTCAATATGTTTTGTATGTGTGAAATTTAGTACCAGATCATACATGGTCAGACTGCAGTTACATATATTTCACTTGTTTGTACAGGCTTGATCTGGTACTAACTTATCGTTACTACCTTTTCTTTACCTGTGAATTAAAATTGTCAGGTTTGTTTCGTTTTTGTTTATTATTTTTGCATATTTTCAGCGTCTCACCCATCACGTGACATGATGCGATTTCAATGCAGGTTTTACGTTTAGTCTTCTTTTGTGGTTTTCTCTCTTTTTTGACTGTGACATATTTCTTAGCAACATTTTTTGCTACTACATGTGATGAATTTATTTTTGTTATTCGTTGTTAATTATTTGTTTGTATTTTGTCTTGACTAGTGCGAAGCATAAGATAATTTGTCACTGTCTTTGTCTGTACCTTTGTCTTAATTTGGTGCGAAATTTCATTTGTTTGACAGAAATTTCCCACCAGAATTTTTGTGATGTTCCCCTTGTCTTTTTATGTCCTATGTTGAAATTATATGTATAATTCTCTTTTCTATGTGAACATGTTGTTCGTCTGCTTTTTGTTGGTTAGTGTTTTTTTTATTGTCTGACGTCATACAAGTCCTGTTTAACATCTTTGTTTGTTTGTTCAATACAAATTAATGTTTGTTTTGTCTCTAGTTAGATTGCATGTTCGTGTCCTTGTCTCTTACTGTTATGTGTAATTAATTATTCCTGTTGCCTTCATACATTTAACTGATTTTCATGATTAAAAACCAATTACAATACTTGAGAGCATCGGATATTGTAAAATGGGGGAATGAATGAGTTTTTAGTTATTCTCGAATACTGATGCCATTCACGAACTGCGGGCAATAATTTTGAAAGATTGTGTGTCAACTTTACGCTGGAAATGTCAAGATGGCATTATGTGTGTTTTGGGGTTTCGAGAAACAGGTTTTGTTTTCTGGCATCGACAAAAATGAACCTGCTATGACGCCATAAGAAAGCAATTTTTACTTAATGATGATATGAAAGACAGATCTGGCAATTTACTGCTACAGTGCTGATGCACAAAGGCCTTCAATCAGGCGCAATTGCGGCTTTGGATCTAATTGTGTGGAAGCTGTAGGTTGAAAATCTCAGGTTCAAACGCTTACCCCCCCACCCAAATTACAGTAAAACTGGCATATCCAGCCAGAGAAGAAAATTTTCAATTCTTCCAAAACTATGCCAGCTTTGTTACTCTTTGGCTCTTGTCTCTCGCTGGGGATGTTAAGATGGGATTATGTATTTTCTCTGGTTTTGACCTGTAATGAGCTTTAGGTAAACAAAATCAGGTTGTGGTAGGAGACCGGTAATTGCATCCTTATTATGACATAGACTTCACATTTCAACGGGACGATCTTGAAAATCAGGGATAGGAAACCGCGACCCATTCAAGAAATAAAATTGGATATGACAAAATCTAAAGAGATCCAACCTCTTGACAGGACAACAAAAGTATGGCAAAACTTCCTGGTTTCCAATTTTAGAACTGTTGAATTCCTTCTCACTAATCTAACAAGCTCTATAAACTCCTACTCTGACAAGTTTGAAAATGAATCTTCATCCTGACTCGAACACAAGCAAAAATGCCGAATTACTATAAACCTCGCCTTTTCAAGCAGGCTTATATATACAATAACAGTACTGCTTAAAGGAAAAATTAGCCTTGTATTTTCGGTTTTCCCTTATCCCCAAATCTGTACTGCCGTAGTATGTGTACCAGGTTGGGGTTAGGCCATAATTTTGTTCAGATTTTCCTTATTAGCCAAGTGAGCATACCAGCCCATAGGTTTTACTCCCTCCACACAACTTGATGTAAAATAGGCAAACAAAATTAGTTACCTCCATATTGGTTTACATACTTCGGAGCGCCCCTAACAACTAAACAACACCACACATGCACAAAATAATTAACACAATATTAAACCTTGCAGGCATATTTTAAGTCCAGCTATATAAAATGAACAATATAATCATTGGTTAGAATAAAAATGAGAAGCTTTAATAAAAAGTGTAATGTAATATGTATAAGAACAAAGAAAGTAAACGAAACAGGTAGAAAAATAATTGCATGAACTTTTCTCAGAATCTATTCTTTAAATTAATTAAATCGAAAATGATTTAAAATTTTGTATACGATCAAACTCGATCGTCCCTTTGTTTCTAACTCTATGTACTAATCATATGTAAAATGGAACAAAGAAATTTTTAAAGGGCGATAAAATCGCATTGCAAAAAATAAAATCTTCTACCGGTTTTAATAAACAACTAAAAGAAAAACACAAAAAGGTAAAATGACATCAAAATATAGCAATAGATGAGATTATTCAAAGAAACGGCAGCTTTTTAATAGCAATTTAATAGTAAGTGATAAGTCCACTACAAATTCACTAATAAAAACTCAAATCACCTTAAAGAATTAATAGCGTGACACCTGAAATCAATAATACAACATATAAAGAAAATGAATATGAGAAACAAAATAACATCACTTGCGTGACATTTGACAGTATTGATTCTTAGCTGTCAATATGACATGGTCTTCTTGAATCATAAGAAACCACATTAATGAGAAAACCGAAATGGTCAGTCCAACACCAGAATTGCCAAGTGGAACATATAAAAATTATGCATGAATAGCGCATGACATTTCAGCTCCAACTCCACTCAATTGATACCTATGAACATTGCCCATTTAGCAATTGATCCAAAAATATAAAAAAAAAAAATTGTCTAATAGGTATTGTAAGCTATGAATAGGAAGAGTAGAATGTTTAAGAAAACATCAGTGATAAATGTGAATCCAAAGTTTTTTTGCCTTGGGAGCAACTTAAATGATGTTTAAAATTCACCAAAAAAGATGCTTGAAAGAAAACTCACTAAAATGTGATGAATTAAAACTTCTCCAAAAATGATGCATTAAGACTTCTCCAAAAATGATGTTTGAAAATTTACCAAAATATGATGAATTAAAAATTCACCAAAATATGATGAATTAGGCTTTATGCAAAACCATGGACGCAATGACTTGTAGTACATAGATAGAAATGTGTATAAATTTTTACATATATCTAAGAACTTCTATACGAAGATTCCAGAATAATATTATGCAAAAATACATAATATCACAGTAAACGAATCACATCATGGCAAATTCATTTCTGTTAATGTTACCAATTCTGATCTGTTAATGGATGGAAAGTACATTGTACATTTATAAATTCCACTATCAACTTTTGTGTACTTGTAGATTATTATCTAGTATAGATTTATTGGTAGGAAAATACCCAAATATTGAACTTAAAGAGTGTAGATCTCTTCACAAAATGGTCATCACACTATATTTTTGCCTTTATGTTTCTTAGCAGAACATTTTGAGCTGAAAGCAGAATAAACAGACTGCATAGAATCATTGTTATTTTCATCAATTTCAAAGAAAATAGGACCATCGGTATCTTCATCTGAACTATCATCATTTCCGTCGAAATTTAAATTTTGCTTTTCTGCATCGGATGATGCTAATGATTTAGCAAAAATTTTCCCTGTTATTTTTGCAACGCGTGACGGCTCCTCACGTTTTGGTTTCCAAATTTCTTTATCAGTGGGCTGATTGTGGGAGCGGCGATGCATTATCTTGCGGTGCTTCCTGAGAACAAGCACCTATGAGACGGGAAATGTGCGGCGAACTTTTCGAACGATTGGCTGATGTGCAAGGGGTTTCTTCTAGTAGAATTGTTTGTTCACTGGTAGCAACAAAATTAGTCTCAGTCTCTGCACGTTGTAGAGGATTTTGATGGCAATTTACAATGTGAACAATGTGCTTATGCTGTGGAACCGTGTTGTTGTTGATTTCATCTTCAATATTTCCAAACGTTGATGAACTATCAGACAGTGATACATCAGGACTGTCATAAGCTTGCGGTCTCATATTCTAAAATAAAATAAATTTCCTCACTCAAATACAATGCCAATGTACCAACTACCGTAATAATTTTTTTGAACATTTTAAATAACCATTTAAGTTTTTGACCAAAAAATATGATTCCCGCAAAAAAATATGTTCATGAAAGTTCTGAAAAAGATGAGCATCATAATGTCACCTTCTAAAAACTAAAATAAATAAAAAAATTAACATATTGGAAGCAGTGTCCCCTCTAAGGTGTGCGCGCACACAGCTTTCGGAGGCTGCGCACACGCATAGATTTACTGCGCACAGACGTATTTTGATGTAATGTAACAATGTGCTCGGTAGGCAGGTTGAGAAGTTTGTTGTTGGCCCACTTATTACCCGGTTAGAATGCAAAAATTTCTTCATTGGTTTTTGCACAAATATTAGTCATTTACAAAAAAGTGCGCACACACCAAAATTTCTGCACACACAAAGTACAAAAATTTAGAGGGCACATTAATTGGAAGATACAAACTAAATACAAGTTTGTGTCTACTTGTGTCCCTTTTAGTTATATCCTTCGGAATTACTTATGTGAAAAAGTTGCTGTACTGTTCATTAACACAGAATAACTTCATCAACAATCTATCTGAAAAGGTTTGACATAAAAGCCATATCTATACTGAACCAGTAATCGTTGACTACAAAAAAAGAAAACTGTTTGCCACATGGTTAACTGGTCATATAAACTTTTAGTCCCGCCAAAATAAATATGAAAATATTTTCAGAAAAATATAAAATCTACAAGTATTCAGAATCAGAAATATGTAGTTATAATTGGTTTCAAATTTATTTCATAAAACATACTCACCGACTGCCTATGTGAAGATCTTTGACCAAAATTGAATCCAATTGACGTTACTAATGACAAAACTGATGACGTCAAGTCATTATATGACAAAAATTTCATAGATGCAACCCTGTGAATAAAATTAAATCTTCATAATCAACCTGTGAATCAATAGCTAATTCTTATCATTTAAACATCTACAAAACGCCATGACAAAAATATTGGTATAATAAGGTATTGAAATGTAAATTAAATTTAACTACTAAATCATCAATCATAAAGACATTGGACAATATTGGATCACTATTCCAAATAAAGACTGTGCAAATATAATAACAAAAAACCAAGAACCTCCCTCAAGTTTTGTTTGAGGTACCTGTGTTTGCACACACCACAAAATTGCTCATTGGCACGAACTTGCCGTTATATACTTTACAAACAAAGATAAGAATGATGGACCATACACTTCAGTACAGGCCACGGATGGCAAATCTTTTCGACTGAATGAGTCCCACTGTCCCACACATTCCCATATCATAAAAAAGAAGAATGTGGGTCATAGACCTAGTCCTTGCTTGCATCAATAACAAGCTGTTGCATCTTTTATGAAATTAGATCATCACTTTCCGCTAGTTCAAATCTTATTGCAACTTATATTGCACTGAAATGTTGGTACGTTTTGCATTTCAATGGTTTACCAGGACTAGCCTTGTGCCATCATTACACACTCACTATCACAGTAGGCAAGTAAATATGGAAAAATATTAGAACTGTTATGAACCGTTTGTGGTTTAGTTCAGTCTATCAAAAATAACTTAATAATATATACTATACATACATATTTAATTTGAAATAGATTGTCTCTTGGGAATTGCACAATTTGGCTGGCAGTTTATTTTGAACGGTTCAGTTCTTAGAATTTCAAAGTAGAGTAAAGGTAAACAAGTAAAATTTGCCTCGAGTCCAATTTGACCATAAAAATGAAATAGATAATTTCAATTATCTACATTTTTAGGATCAGTAATTATAGAACTACCACGAATTACGAGAGAAACGTCATTTACAGATGGAATGAATTCTAACACGGAAACAATTTCAAGTCGTAATTAATGTTATTATGTTCTGAGTCATGACTTTTATAATGCAACATGTGATCGACCCAGCTTTGCTTGTAACAGGTTATGAAAATAACATGTCACTATTTTCAGTTTCTATTTCCTATTTTCTGTACTTTTTCTATCTCTTACTTACATATGATATCGAAAAATGTAGTAATTTTGAGTTTTGGAATACGATTCTCATACAACTCTTATTCGCACATCTTGCTCAGAACAAGACACGATACTCCTGTAGAATGTGTACCAGGTTGGGGTTGGGCCATAATTTTATTCCTATTTTCCTTATTTTAGTTCTATTACCAGTTCGGGACTGTTTGTGTTAGCCAAGTGAATATCTCCCCTGCCCATCGGTTTCCGTCCCTTTACACAACTTGATGTAAAGTAGGCAAACAAAATTAGTTGCCTCCATATTGGTACACACACTTCTGGAGCCCCCAAGGCCCTGTACAACCTGTTCGGTTATTAAACTCTGGTTGAGGGGGTGGTAATAGAATTTGAACCAGAGATGAGTAACCTGTGATGCCAACACAGTTAAGTCTAATGCTTTATAAGCTAGACCAGAGTGGTCCAAACACAGGCCCGCGGGCCACATGTGGCCCTCCGCTTCATTATCTTTGGCCCGCACCACATTCAGAGAGTAATCAAAATATCGTATTTTAAATTGTTACTCATAATATAAATCAGAAAAATCGTTTAACATATTGTTGTTATCATTACTGCGACTGAATTGACTAGTATGATGGCTAGCTGAAGCAACTAGCGAAGTTGAATGATGTGATGGGCAGTCTAACTTGTTACCTGGATTTCTATTGTTTTGGTCGGGAATATATACTAACAATATAGGAATGATAGAAAACTAAAAATCGAATGCGTATGCGTATTACTTATTCCTGGTACTATTGCGGCCCGCGACCAATGCCAAAATAATTTTGTGGCCCGCGAAGCCCACAACCTTGGACCACCCTGAGCTAGACCATTGCGTCTAAAAATCAAAATATTGTAAATATGACATTGCTTAGGGAAAGAGTCATTTTATCCATTTGTATTCTAAAAACACTTCGTTCAAAAATCATTTATTCTGAATTATGAAAAAGACTTACCCTTCGGAGTTTGCTTCAATTGCAGCTATTGTGTTTAGATTTCTGTGAGATCTGTATGGAGGAGGTGGAGAGCCAGAAGGAGGAATCCTTATGATTTCATCATACTTTGGAAGTTTGCAGAAACCAAGAGTTCCTTAACAAACAAAAAATCAATTTTTATAGAAAAAAATAGTTTTTTACAAAAAATTTCCACATCACAAAAAAAAATCAAATTTTTTTCTATTTTTGTTTGCTTTTGCAGAGAAAATAGCTGACAATGAAAACTCAAATAACCTATCGAGAATTGAAAAATTGCACATTTTGATTAGTCATGTCCTGTCTAATATTTTTTTTTATCTTGATTCTTGATTAAGTGGTAGGAAAAGTTCAGTAACTATAAAATAGCTGGGGGTTGAACAAGAAAGATGGAATCTGCGGTAAAACCATGACCAGACCATAAACCAACAAATTTCAAATAAACCTAAATAATATATAGAAACGATCATCAATATTTGTATTTATATATGAAATTAATTTTAATAATTTCAAGTTTTTAAGAATCCGAATTCCTAAAATAGGAATATAATTCAAGATGTGTTGATATTTTCAGATTTTCAAAACAACGGAATTTTCTAAGTACAGGAAGCCCTGACTGCTAATATCACACAGAGTAGGATTCGAATTAAGTGAACAACTACTAATTAAAATTAATTACGGCTGAGAGAACCTAATTATTTTGAATATAAATATATAATTATCTAATTAAAATGGAATGAAAACGGGAAATTTAAGAATTATATTTGAAATTGGATAAAAAAAAAATTGGCATTAAATTGGTATGAGCCAAAACTGAATCCCAAGCACCACAGCTGAGAGAACCTAATTATTTTGAATATAAATATATAATTATCTAATTAAAATGGAATGAAAACGGGAAATTTAAGAATTATATTTGAAATTGGATAAAAAAAAAATTTGCATTAAATTGGTATGAGCAAAACTGAACCCCAAGCACCACAGCTGAGAGAACCTAATTATTTTGAATATAAATATATAATTATCAATTAAAATGGAATGAAAACGGGAAATTTAAGAATTATATTTGAAATTGGATAAAAAAAAAATTTGCATTAAATTGGTATGAGCCAAAACTGAACCCCAAGCACCACAGCTGAGAGAACCTAATTATTTTGAATATAAATATATAATTATCTAATTAAAATGAAATGAAAACGGGAAATTTAAGAATTATATTTGGTATCGAATAATAAAAAAAATTGGCCTTAAATCGGTATGGGCCAAAACTGAACCCCAAACACCCCCATACCCACCCCCTCACCCATGGTGTTAAAAATTATGTAAGTTTAGGTTGGACCAAAATTCTTAGATCCTTCTCAATCTACATATCTACATACATATATTAATAGTAGTTTGTCCAGAGCATTGGTCTGAGTGAAAGGAATAACAACCATAAAATATTTTAAATGACTAATGCTCATAATAAATTGGAGCTGATTTAATAAATACATATTCTCAAAGATTCCAACAAAACCATATCAAGTATGGTCATGTGGTGTATATATAATATTGTCATGTTATACAGATCTCTTGCTTGGGAAAAAATACTAAATCCACAATTTAAATAATAACAAAATGTTTTTGCTGTTTCTCATGACATGAAATCAAACATTGACCAGCACATATGAAACCAAAAATATTGACTCCATGTCTTGGAAAACAAACATGTAACATGTCATTGATCAAAACTAGAATATTTTTAAAAAGAGGCAGTAAAATATCTAGGCATTGCGCTGTTAAATAAATTCAGGTCTTAATTAAAGTCAAAGACCAGATAGAGCCAACAGAACCTTGTCTATTATGCATGAAAGATGAAACAAATTTTATGGGCCATTCTTTTGTAATTTCCATGATAAAATAGGCAATTACAGATTTAAAATAATTCAAAACATTCAAAATGATATCCAAAGGTATTTTGTTTACTGGATATCTTAAAGTTCAACTTAAATTGTAATTCTCTAAAGAAGGTATTTTGAATGCTTGGAAATTCCCTAACGGTAAGATTTTTACTTCTCTATTTAACGTCATGGTATTGATTTCTCCATAACAAACGTCATTACCTTTGTCGACAGGTGGTCCTGGATAACTACATGCAGCAGCATATTGTCCTTGCATCATAGTACGATTTCTACGAGATCGTAAATTTTGACGTTTCTTGCGATGATGATAAGCACAACAGCAGCTCATGAGAATAATCATCATCCATATCAGCCAGAACCCTGCAATTAACAAAGCTTGAAATTTTATTCCGAATAATAAAATTTTTATTCTACATTAAATCTCAATGGCTTTTAAAAAATCAGTTTTGAAGGTTCAGAATGATGGCTATCTGTTCGCTTTGCAATAATCTACCAAATTTGATACCCCCCCTCCCCGCACCCCAACCGACCTGGATTGACTCTACTCTAAAGGGAACACGAATATGGGTGCTGTAATATAATTAACGAACAATTTTGATATATCACTATGCCATGATACCTGTTGTTTAATAATTTAATTCTGTGGATCAAAAGTGAGAAATTTTTAAAAGTGAAAGTCAACAGAGAGTTTGAAGATTACAGATAAGAAGATCAACATCTAAAAATTGAATGTGACTTATGTAGAAATATTCTACAAGTAAGACAAATAACTCTGAATAAAATTTTAATTTTAGCTAATTGGCCGTACAATTTGGAGCGAATTTTTGAAAAAATGCTTGTGAATTGCAGAAAACATCTCTACAGATACAACTAATCAGAAAGTCATAAAGTTGTTTTGCAAGTTTCATTGGGGTTTGATATAGAAACTGATGACTCATGTAATAAGATGAATATTCTAATCCATATCTATCTAAACTTCACTATTGCAAAATAAATTGCTGTAGCATATATCATCTACGCCCTGGGAATTGTGGTAAATATTGATGTTACCGGTACTCGGTACTGCCATGATGTTATCACAATAATCATAATAAACATCAAAAGGATTTAGAGTAATTTATAAATAGAAGCTTGGAGCAATATCACTAGTGCTAAGCTTCTTTTACTTTCTAGTTACAAATTATGAAAAATAGTTGAGCTAAAATTTGCCACAAGTTTTTTTTTTAAATAAATTTTGTTATTTATTCAAAAGAATATTTATTCAAATTCAAACCTGATAAAAATATTTTTTTCCATACACCAAAATGGGCATGTTACAAATAAGGTTGGATTACTAAGTTTAAAAACATCCTTAAGACAAAACTGATCTGAAATTGTTATTTATAAAGTTTCAAGATATCATTTTCAGAAATAGTAGTGTATTGACTCCTGAATAAAAGTAACTCTGATGTGCCCTTTAAAAAAAGATTGAAGACAGCATATTTATTATGATTTCATATCTATCAAAAAAGAAAATCTGATAATATAGCAAAATCAAATTGTGACCAACAATCGCTAACTTTGGGTACAAGCGACCTAATATTGAGTTACACCAATATTCCAAATACAAAGCCTTAGACAAGATATACGATATTAAATGTAACAAGTTTTTGTTTTATTTTATATAACAAACATGCTTCTGAAATAGGCTTGAGACTTGAAATGCTGAAATTTTTTCTCGACATGGCCGTGTTTTAGGATTTTACATAATATGAATGAATGATATAAAAGAAATTTTTATTCAAGAAATTAAATAAATTTCTCAGATTAGGATCACTTTTTAAAATATTTGAAATGGAAAATCTGAAGTCTTGATCTTAGTTTAAAGCAAAAAATTAAATGAATACTGAAAACAAATTTAAGAATATCAAATTTATTTCAAAATAACCATATAACCAAAATGATTCTTATCATCTTTAATTGTCTATTACAAAAGAAAATGGAAATAACCTCTTAGAACCACACTTTTAAAAATGGGGAATTTTTTCATATCAGGTTCATGAATCAATATGACGATATACAAAACAAAGAAGTACTGTATTATAAACAGAACAAGGAATAAATGAGAAATTGCTTTATAAGTATTTCCAGTTCCTCCTTTGAATATTAGGTTTAAAATATATTTCATTAGTCAAATAATAATACGGTATGCAACACGAAAGCAGATGTGAAACTTTGACTAAGTGGAAAGTTCTATATATAGAAGTGTATGAGAAATTTTCTTGGATTTCATGTTTCTTGAACTTCCTTAAACTTTGGCATGGGATACATAGAACAAAGAATTTATTTTTATTTTTATAAAACTTATGATCTGGTGTAGCAAACAATAGAGCAATGCTCTAATATAAGTGGATACAAAGGTCGTGCATTGGTACCAGAAAAGCCTTAGTTTGCTAAATAGATCGATGACAAGGGTGACGAAATGAAGTGTTCTATTATGCCATAGACGTGTCATAAATTGAAGTAAATCATAAAATTATGGTAAAATTTCGTCTCTCATTAGATTCGGGGGAAATTTGAAAAAAAAAATAAATAAATAAATAGACTCCTACTGATTTCCTCCATCTGTGGGTACTAAAAATCTGAAACATTTTAGAATCACTATATCTATTGAATTGCTAATATTAGTTATTGAGCCTCTGAAAGTCTTGTGAATATATAAGATAGAAAAATTTTAAATAGAAACTTACACCAAAGTTCATAATAATAAGTACAACAGTTTGCGTCAGCACAGCAATGTCCAACAGCACATCGATATTCCGCTCCATCCACATCACTTTTGCATACTTCTTCATCCTGAATTTAAAAATAAAATTGCAGATGACAATAAAAAATATCTGCTATCAAATCTTCCATTAGAGTTCTTAATATAGCCTAGCTTATGGTTTAAGTATTTTAATTTTATTTCAATTTTATTTGTTTAGTTGATGTTGTTAATTTGTTATAAAGATTCTTATTTAATACAAACCTCATTCTTTGACTCTACTTCATATCCAACCCTTGCACTTGCTGATGCTACAATGAAGTATACAGATAAAACACCAAGAGGGCTGACCCTTGATGTCATGAAATGGGACATTTTTGCATTCAACATCTGCAAAAGTCAACAACACAGTTCGGCAGTTTATAAATTATTCAGATTTATATATCTCAACTTTCTGACTTTACATAGGTGTTTCAGTTTCTAGAAGTAAAATGAGATAAAGATAAATAGGACAGATTTTAACTGGCATGTCTGTATGTGCGCAATATAGCCTAGACAGAAATAATCTTATTAATAGATTAACTGAAAATACAAATAAAGTGCTTTTTGCAAACATACTGACATAGGTCAACGCCCAAAACAAATACTGAGATAGACAGAATATTCTTTTTTTAAACTTGCATATATATCTATCTAGTCTGTAGCAGTCAATTGACGCTGGTCCATGTTGTGATTAATTCATGTTTCGTGTTGTTGAATACTGGAATAGCCGATTACTTTCTTCCAAGCGTGAAAACTATATTAACCGATACGTAAAACTCACTCAACAACTTTCTAGGTACTGCCGTCACTATACACAAAGTTCAGTGAATAACCCCTTGCGTGATTGCCGCAGCGATTGAGACATCACGTTGCAAACTCATGATACGGTATGTTGTTATTGTCACGTAGCTACCTGATAACTGCGAGACTGCTTGAAGTGAACCTCGACAAACTTTCTTCTATTTAAAAAATTGAGGTTTAAATTGTTGTAAAGCCCCTGCATCGAAAACTGGGAAGTAACCTTGGGCTTGTAATCGCTAAAAAACCAAGCCTTTGTTGTTTCAGACGCGACAGAAATCGCCTCGCCTTCCTGTTTCTAGTTTGTTTTTGAAGCATCGTCACGCTCAATGGTCGGTGCAAACCAGCTGAGTCCAGTTTGCACAGGGTTGACTAACACGGCTCGCTGCGCACAGCCGGTGATATTGCGTAACCGCGTGTGTCGTTTAAGTTTTCAATTTAATTTTCCAGCTATTTGTATATTTCTATCGATTTATTTTAATCCAAGCTAGACGCGTTTAAACTAGGATAGCGCATCGCGTACGATTGAGCTTGAGCACAAAGCCAGCCGGCTGACTCGGCATCGTATTTGAAAAATCGAAACGAAAACATGTTTACACCGGTTCTGGGCGCTTTACCGTATAGCTATAGCACAACCAGAAACGTGGTTCTTCGCCTGAAGACAAAAACAATAAACAAAGCAACGTTGTCAATTTGCCTCTAAGTCTTCGCTTGTATTTTCTCGTAACGTAGTAGAATGTAAATTTCTTAAAATATATATGTTATACTTTCGGGATCGCTTTTTTGGATAACACTAAAAACGGTATGTTAAGTTGTGTGGTTATCATTACCGGTATATGTCGTTATAAAAAATTATTATAGGCCACCGTTTCGAAGAGCATGTATTCATTATAAAGAATGGAATGAGTTACTGTACTCCTTTTCGGCTTATATTCGATTCAAGGTGCAAATAACAACTCGTCAATCATACAATGAAACTTAGTTACGATTATGCTTTAAAACTTCTAAAACGTTAAATTTATAGCGCGATTGGTCTTCAATATAACTACGACGAAGTCCTGGGTTGAAAAAATTGGTTCCAACCCCGGTTCTCACTCAGTTTGTAATGAATTTCGTAGTCACTCAGCCCCGGGGGTTCTTTTCTAAAAGTGTCAACAAAAATAGAAAAGTCTCGCAATTAATGTTAAAAACGGTGAAGTCGATTCATGCTGCGCCTTGGACACCAACTGTGGTTAACTGGTCAATTTTGTCTGACTAACAGTGAAATGATACCCAACCTTATCCATGCTTTTTTATGATTTAAAAACTTCCGTATTACTTTCCATTGTCACCACTGCAAACGATGCAGCTTATTAAGCGTTATTATAATAGTGGCATTTTTTCACGTCAAAGAGCGAAGCACATTCTACATAGCTTGGTATTTAGTGCGACACCAAAGCTAATTTCGCACCTCCCAGATGCTACGACTGGGGGTTTAATTTATGCAATAGTTTCACGTCTACTGAAAATCAAAATCTGTCAATAAAAGCATGAAGCTATATTTGACAGTAACGCATGTAATAGAAATCTACGTCTCTCGTGTTCGAATAGGTTCGTTAGATCAGTTATAAAATACGGACGTAAACTATGTCTGGGTAGATATACAATTCCCCCCCTATCCATCAATATAGCACGGTCATTGTCGAAGATACTGGTTAGCAAGTCCGTAGTTACGCTTCCGGAACTTATGTATATTCCGAACTACTCAATGGTCATTCATTTAATCGGACGAAAAGTTTCCGAGAAGTAAAGAATTGTAAGCTAATTTGTGAGTTCAAAGCATAGAAATCTTGCAATGAAAATGATCAGGGCGCAAATAAGGGAGTGAAATATACAAAACAGGGTTGCTAGAGAATGAGACGACGTAATCGTTACAGGGAAATGAGGCTGAACTGCATGGATGAGGGTTTTTAACTCATACCCGGCGCCAGTTGTCAACTACACCATGGACGTATCTTAAAAGGTAATAGCGTTCTAGCGACATCTATCGCGTCGAATTTTTTTCACAACGATCGTGTTCAATTGAGGCACGAAACTCATCTAAACAACGCGTGATTCTGAACAGCTCCTTTGGAATGTTTATTACGACATTACATATCTACCTAATAAATCACGCTTCTATAATAATTTTGACGAAAGAGTACACAGGCAGCATGCCTTTCCTTTCCATATATGCTAAGTCAGTGACATATTTGGGACCCGTACTAGGAGATAATTATAATCAAAAACAAGAGGATGTGGACATTTGAAACGAAGGTTGCACATCAGTACCGAATTGCGGACCAATCGGCGGAAACTATCGTGTCCCCTTTAACAAAAGTAAAAAAACAAAATTCATTCAAAACAAAAGGATTCAGAGGGAATTGAAAATGGATGGAAAGTACTGGCTATCTTTAAGTACTTGAGATTGATTGACCCATTAGTCACCAGGAGAAAGATATTTTACACACAAAAACAACATGAAAAACCATGCAACAACAATTTTCCATACTAATCCATCCATAGGCATACTCCATGCTCAATAAACAAGACTGATAAAATGATATGTCATAACAGCACTGTTAGCTACCACCAGGCCATGCGGTAATAGTCCCACCCCTGATCACGCTGGTCAAATACACATCTAACACCCTTCGTGGGCACAAAAGAGAATCATAGTCTTGAGGAAAAAATCTATTCAAACGAATCTGATATTAGAAATACCAATTCTGTACATAGGTTCTTATAAGAAGAAAAATAAAATAAAATATATGATATGAACACAGTTCACAGCAAGATAAATCATTAAACAGTAAATTGAAGAAAAACTATTAACAAAAAGATAAGTTGACCATGGAATGAGTACCCATGAGGTGTGCTCCAACACTAGAGCAAGCTTCATGAAATCACACATGCTGATAATGTTGAAGTTCGGTAAATTTGCTGCTGTATAAGAGAGTGGATGATTTACAAATAATTCAATTTGAAGGATTTCACAAAATTATGAACCAAATACCAAAGACCGATTGTTATATGATGTAGGAAAATACTTTCCTGTTACAAGCAGTAATTATCACTATTTATAAGAGTAAGTATTTTCGTTTACTCCACAACAGCGAGGCATAACATCATCAAAAATCAACCTATTTGAAATTAGAGGAAAACAAGTCGGTGACATTTAAGAGGTTTGTAAAACACAATCTGCAGTATCAAAATATATTTGCACTAATTCTTAAAATATTAGATACACATTGTTGGGTGTACAAAAATCATTACATGTGACTATTTTCAGAATTAAACACGAGAAAAACAAATTGCATTTTAATTATATTGTACTATCTTGAAATAGTCTGAAGAGGACTGGAGTGTGTCAATTTTGGATGGGAATGAAAAATATAAGAAAATAATCAATTCCAAAAAATTGGCAGTTTGTAAGGCGAAAAAAAATGCTGTAAAAAATCATCTTACAATGTTTAGGTTTATAACTATACTGTGCATTATGTGAATATATGGGAGACATGTTAAAGATATCGCAAAGTCAATCAAAGCCTGAATTATGTTCTTAAGTACAAAGTACGCTTAATGCCATTTATCTAAATTCACAGGGCTGGCAATATTACTGATAGAAGAGTTCGAAAATATATTTTCCATGTTCCTAAGGAACAGAAATATGAATTAAAATGGCACTCACAAACTGTTCCATTGAAAAATTGAATTCCTATTTTAATTTACTCCCAAGTTCATTGAATGCAATAATGAATTTATTTGAATAAAGTTTAGCACAGCCCGAACAAAATATGGTCTAGGTATACAAAACAATCAGGAATAACAATTCAAAACACCTTCCCAATATAAATGCAGTCATAATGAAAAATAGTAAGGAAATAATGACAGCACCTTGAAATTTGCAGCATATTTCAATACAGCCATACTGTGTAAACAACAATTTTTTTTACATTACAATCATATATAGTGATAGATAGAATAAAAATCCCATTTACAGATGTTCCCATCTTTCCTCTGATGTTTAGTTTCCAAATGCATTTGAAGTAAAGTGCATATTCTGTGTTTACCTATTTATATAATGATAATAATATATATTCATATTGGAGAATTAAAAACCAACAAAAGTGGCTTCACTTTTATATTCCAATGAATTTATTACAATTCAGATTCTTGAATAGTTGCCATTTAGTTAAATTATAACATCAAAATTGAAAAATTTAGCATATATTAGGATTTAGTAACAGAATACAGCTACAAAATTGAAATGATGTACAGGCTTCAGAATAAATATACTAGAATCCAATTTCTTTAGGTATTGCCTTTACTTTCTCATGCATAAAGATTGTGAGATAATTAATAGTATGGCAAGTTTCCCACTTTAAATCGATGCTTCATAAAAACTTGAAAAAGAACTTCACAAGATTTAAAAGAATATTAAAGATACAACAGAGTTATTTACAAAGAGAACTTTTTTTAACAAATAGTGTTTGCATAAAAAGATATATAATATACTATATCAATATTAAATAGCAGGACATTTTGTTACAAATTGGGGCATGTATAGTGAGTCAAAAATATTTTTTTTGTAGAAAGGATGAGGGAGACATACTTTGTAACTGAGATGCTTGGGACTCGGATCAATTACTATTTACTAACATGTAATTCACTGCTCTTTCTTTATAGTGTCAGTAGCTCTTGGCACTTCAGTCTTTACTGCTAGGTGAGAGCACATGAGCGAATTTTTGTGAAAAAAAAAACAGGTCTAAAACAAGTTAGGGTGGTTTAAGGGCAAGTTTACATGAAAATGTTCTATGAACCTGATATAACAAGCCATTTTTTACCCAAATTGAGGTGACTTTGGCACCAACAGCGATCGATCAACTGGTCAATTCTGTCTGGTTATTGGTCAACAGTTTTAAACGAAATTTCCAGACCTATAGGTTGATAGATTGGTAAATGCTCTTCGTACAACTTATTGAGATACATCATGGAGTACAAAAAAATAGTTATGAAAATAGGTGTTTTAGTGTAATGATTACAGACAATATATTTATTTTACAGTCGAACTGCTTTTTGAATCAACAAATCGAATAGTGGTAAGCACCGAAAAGAGCAAGAAGAGACTAGCTCTTCCGAAAAAAGTAAGTTCTTGAATATCAATGGCCTTGTTTAATGAGAGGCTGAGAAAAGCGCTGTAAAATAATTGAAAACCCACTCGACTGAAAAAACGTACCAAATATGGTTAGATAAAAGAGATATTAATAAATATTCAAAACAACCACTGTTGACGAACTACAATATTTTTATAAGCATAATTTTCCTAATGATATTATAGAGAAAAACCAGACTGCAAAAATACCATCACTATTAAAAGACGAACATCCTGATCTTAAAGAATATTGCATGAAATATATTACGTTTTATATCCAGCCTTTGGGATTTATACCTGTAATATTAAAACACAAAGTTTCATCTACATCAGGGATCGGCAACCTACGGGCCGCGGCGTAATATAATCTGGCCGGCGGCGCCTCATTGAATTATAGTAACAAAACAGCTGTTTTGACGATAATATTATTTACGACGATTATATTCTTTATGTACGTATTCTTTGCCGACCCCTGATCTACATGCTCTCAATTAGCATCATACATTGGTACTAAAATACAATTTGGTGATTCCCACACTATAATGAATATAACATTCAAAAGAGACAGAAAAATACAATCAGCTATCGTTTTCTTCTGTTTTTGGCAATAAATTTTCCGTTGAGTCTTCTTTTGAATTCAAGTCCTTACTTTTTGCTTTGTTGAGGTAAAACTTTGCATAAGTGGGTCTATCTTGGCCTTGGCCTGTTCTAGTTTTTCCAGGAGAAACCCGTTGATTATTCAAAGCTCTATGGGACCATGTATTCGTGTTACAATGCATATTTCCATATAATTGTAATGACGTTGTGATACAATCGACTGAAGATGAGCGAGTATGTTGCAAGACATTATTACTGTTGTTACAATTAAAAGAATGGTTTCTGCTCATTTTCTTTTGAGGAGGTAAAGAGTCGCTCGTACGATTTCCGAGACTGCTGTGATTCCTGAAAATGAATGAACCTTTTACTTCTGCCAATAAAAGTTTGGATTGGTTTGGGAAATACCAACCTTTTTGCTTTGATTACATTTATATTAAGTTTTATATTCCAAGGTACTCGAAAGAAAATTAAAACAAAAATGGTTTGACAATTACGGTACATAAATGTTAATGTATCCTGAATTGAAGGAAAAATTTAAAAGTCTGGGTGGCGAAAAATACAAAATAAAAGTAGACATAATCGGAAAGAAAACAACATTCTTTTTATGCCAAGGTTTGGAAAAGAAGTCATAGTCAATTTACCCTCCCCCTCAGATTCCTGAGTTATGTATAATTTACAACCCCCACAGCACCCAAGTCAGAGAGAAATCACCCCCGACTCCAAATCCAGGCCAATCGAAAAACAATTCCAGCTCTGGGTTGACAAAAATCGACGCTGAATTCTGAATAATCACTGAAGACAATTCAAAATTTGACTCCCGAGAGTTTGAAGAAATGACTTCAATATCGATGGAAACATGAAAAACACCCAAGCACTGCTTTATACGCTGCGGACAAAATAGCGATAGGCTTTTAGATATGTTGGCTGTTGAATACATTGAATCTGAATAATATTTCAACCAAATCCTATCTTCATACTTCGGCAGTGTAAAAAGAATCAACAATTGGGGCTATAGTGATATAACAACATATTGTGTAAATATTGTGAAATCTTTACCCAGTATCTTGAGCTCTGTCTGTATTTAGTGCTTCCAGTGATGACAATTGCTCATTTGCCATTCTAGTTGCTTTCATTGCATTGGCGTATTGAGTTTTAGTGATCTGCAAAACAACAATAGTATGAATGTACATAAACATATAAATATATATTTATAACAAAAGTGCTGATATTGAAATAAGGCTACTTTAATTATAGAAGAAATATGCTCATGCATCTAAACCTTTAATGTTGTTAAGCTGTTTTTATAAAAGTGTAAGAAGTGCACAAATGAAAAAAAAAATATATGAAACCACATTCTATCAGTTAAAATGAAGTCCAGTGGATTTCTACATCTAAATCAAGTCTGATACAATTTTTTATGGAACATTTTGACGCCTCCATACTGAATGTGAAGAGTGGTACTATTTTGGAAAGACCGTAATCTTTCCAATTTGGCATTGTATTCCCAATTTATTACACCCTGGGTGAGATGGTAACATGGGGTTCAACCCATAGATATTTTACCTGCAAAAGCAACATAGTTTGATCAAATGTTTTAACAATCATAACATCACCCCGAAAATGAAGGATCCTATTTTGCAATCGCAGGTGATTACTTAGGATGTATTACCATATTTCTCATCGCATACCGCGCACAATAGATAATATGCATGTTTATTTATTTTAGCACATGGATCACAAGAATATTTCAATCTTCATCTCTTGAAAAGCTTATAAGGCCGAACGTCACAGCATGTTTTAGACATTGCACTTCAAAGAGGTTGATTCCGCGGAACGTCGTAGAGGGGACAAAGATGACAGTTTTTTGTTTTCGGCGCTTGAGTCAATGAATAGTTTGAGACTTTTGCTACCTTTAATAGTGCTAAATTTTGGTTGGAGGTTGGACTGGGTATGCTTCTACCGAAACAAGCATGATCAGTTTCTAACAGATTTTGGCCAGATAAAATCAAAAGACTAATATATGTGAGAATTATTAGCCAGTTAAGCGTTGAGCGAAAAATATTAATATTAGCATTATATATGGAGAAATATGGTAAATTGGGCGAGCAATGTCAAACCATATAGATTCTGGTCCTTCCAGCAAAATGTAGATTCTTACATATTACTGCTTGTACAAAATCTTCTTTGGAGTGAAAGGCGTGAAAATGTGTAATCCAAAATTAAATGCCAGCAACTATATTGTAGATATCCAGCTATTTCCAGATTCTAATTCAGATTAGTCTGATATAAGGTCTTAAACTAGCAAATTCCTTAATCAAGGGAACTTACTTTCAAAAACTTGACAGTTGTGACAGCTAGAAGACTGTAATCGGGATTAAAATGTCCTGGAGTGGTAGGTGCTGGTTCAGGTGGTAATAATGCAGCAGGTGTACCTTCACTATTAGCAGTACCAGATCTAGAACGTCCAGGAGCTGAAAAGAAAGTATAAATGACTTATAAACATTTGGTGATTATTAACAACAAAGTGATGTAATAAGTACTCCAATAAAAATATCTCGTTTTTGAAAGTCCTCATCAGGACAATGGAGTCATGAAAATTTACACCAGTCCCTTGACAAAAAACTCTAGGCAAAAATGACCTTCGACCCCAACTCAGAAACACGGTAATACCAAATTTTGTTGAAAAACTCTGCGTTTTATGATCAATCATTCATTTTTTATCATTTTTAAATGTTTATTTGCTAAATAAGCTTTTTAAGCTATTTAAAAACTATTTAAAGCCTCCAAGTACTAAAGAAATTTAGTAGGTTATATTAGGCTGAAAATTCTAAGGTTTTTCAATGTAAATATATTTCCATTCTGTATAGAGTTGAATGAAGTTTATGTCCAGAATCTTTATCAGAGCAAAATATCTTATGTTATATATTTCTACAGCATTAGCAACATTATAAAACTAGTAGCATTATAACATTCTATGATTAGGCTTGACACTTTCACTCCAAATCAAGCTCTGTGCGATCATCCACAGATTTCTAAAGAGCTACAACTTGATGTTTGATCTTTCATCATCAAATTTCTTTATAATTAATTATTATGAGAAACAATTTTCAAAACATTTTGTTAATGAATGATCCCTATTCATCATTGAGTTTTCAAATTTTTTCTTTAAATTAGTACCTACTCTACTGTGCCCTAAAAATGTAATGATCCATTGAAACTGAAAATAATAATAGATTACAAAATTATCTTTAAAAAAAATAAAAACTTACATAACTGTCTATTGTAAATCAATAAAAATCATTTTAAAAATGGAATTCACAGACATATCAATTCCAATACTTCTATCTAGGTGTCTCATACCATTAACTACTTTTTCCTTGAGACCAATCGAGATTAACAATGTGCGACATGAAGAACGATAAAAAAGAATAGGAAGTAATAAAGATAATCAATATTTTCTAATCAATGATTATTAAAACAGTGTTACGAGGCATACAAGGTCAAACCAGGGAAGACATTCTATATTAAGAAAGAAATAATGAATATATTCAAGAAATTAGAAAAAAGTAGATGGCAGTATCATGGCAACAAAATAATAACTATTGCTGGTAGGAAATTTATATTATTAATTGCCCAGTGGCAGAAGCGTAGATCTAACCATGATGGCATCACAGGTTCAAATCAAATACCATGTTCACCACATCCCTCAGAACGTAATAAAACAGGCAGACAGTCCAAAACCGTAAATATCCTTCCAAACTATAGTAGCTACTTACCTAGGAGTGGATGCTCATGCAGAGCCTTTTTCAGAGGGAAACGGTGTGTAATTATGTCACATAAAAATGTCATGATTGCAAAAAAAAAACTCAAATGGTCTATAAATTTTCCAAAAATAGTGACGAAATAAATCTCGAATTATGTGTTATATATACCTATATATTACTTATATTTAGGCCTTCTTTGATAAAGAAATCTTCAACTCAAATATTCCCTGACGATATATCACAATTATCTTGAAGTTTTTGAAAAGTGTTTGAGAGCTAAAATTGCGATTTCTAAATTTGTAATTTTCTTAGATCGTTCTAATACAAAAAATACACTTGGTGAAGTAACATACCTGACCATTCTCTGCTATCATTTATAACAGATGGTTGCGCTGATGACACTTGTAAAGCTGGGACTCCATAATATGAAAAAGCTCCGGTATCAAATTCTAAATTTTCTTTACCAACAATCACACGAACTGTTCCCTGATAGTAGTTAAAAAAACATAACTATTAACAATTTTTAAGGTAAATGAAACCAATCGGTGTAATTCACTGAGGCTAACACATGGTGACAAATCAGGGGCGGCGCTTATTGGGCAGAATTACAGCGTGGCAAGTTGCGTCTACTAGGCGCCAAATTTTTTTACTAAAAAAAAGGGGGGAAGGGTTAGAACTCTCAAACCCTCACGGCTACACCCCTGTGACATGTTGATATAATGTCCTTAGGGGGCTGTTTTATTCATTTCTTTTCTATGTTGCATCTTTCATTCCGCTCTTTTCAAATAGAATAGAATGAAGTTTGCCAATGTTTGTTTATAAGCATTCGAAGCTGCAAAGACAACAAACATTCTTTCCAATCTAACGTTGGAAAATTCATCAAACCTGGGATCGAATCGAAAATTTTGGAATAAAAAACTACAAATATTGATTCAAAACATATTTCTTAAAAACTGGAAACTTCTCACAGTTCAAATTTCTTGTTTGTCAGAAAAATCAGACAAGCAGTATGTTGGCTGCCATACGCACAAAAATGAAATTTGCTCATTGTGATATTCTAAATAAGTGCCCAACCAGTTGTACAAGTAAATCTTTTAACTGGGCCACAAAAGCCCACGATTTTTCTTTTCTTACAGGATTTATTGGGGGAAGACTATCAGGCAAACCTATACTCAAACTTATGATATGTAATCTGCACAGCTTACAGCACACATCATGGTACTTCATAGAAATTAGGTTTATCAGAGAATGGCCAAAGTAAATACTCTAATATTTATTTAAACCATGACCTACCTCCAAAATTAGAACAAAGTAATCAGCAGATTTATTAGCTCGATAAATGTATAGTTTATCTTTATTGACTCCTTCTTCATTAATTAGTTCAATGAAAACGTCTTTCTAAAATTTTAAATTAAGAAAATTAATAATCTTTAAATATATAACAATAAACATTAGCTTTGGAAATGTAAGCAAAAATGAGATTGTGACAGTATTTATGGCCAATAAGCAAAACGTATTACGCTTTGAGACAATGAAGTCAGTAAAAACAATAATTGAATAATTCTTGAACATAAATTTATTGTTTGATTTTATTTTCTCTTAATGTGATAATTATATGCTTACGGTATTGAACTCCGTAATTTAATATTAAAACTACATCGAAATTTCATGAGAGGGCTACTAACCTGCTGCAAAAGACGAGGGATCACTTTTTCTGATAGTATTCCAAAGGGTTCAATTTCTGTAGAGGAGAAAAAATCCATGATATATGAAGTGAAACGCAGATAATTTGTATTTTATAAGTCCAGTAGTAAACAACAGAAAACAAGGAATAAACCTAAAATAAATATCTTGAACACCGATTTATTGCAAGTCAACATTCTCCATGAATATAGGGCACCGTGATTATATAACCACCCATATATGCAAAATTAATTAATATCCCTAAGGTCTACTCACAGCCAAGACTGAGAAAAAAGTCATATATAAAAAGAAGAATATAGTCACAATAAGCCCACCCTGGCGCATGCCTATTAAATTAATTATTATCAGGGCATGGTCCTACTTCTACCCACAGACAATTATGGATTGAGAAAATCATATTATACAAGAGGAAAAGTATAGTCACCATGACTTCAACCTGGCATACGCCTATTACATAAATTTTCAAATTTGGTGACAAATCGAAATAAAAGGCTAATCCTATTATAATGTCAAGTGTGTTGTTTTACGAGAGAAAGAAGTCAGGCAACAAGTGATTGAAAAGCATCAAACCATGAAAATTACCATTAATAAAATTGTTAATAAAGCCAAAAGATTCAATAAATTTAACAAGTATACCGGTGACAAGAAATCTATGCACAGCTAACATAAGTTGAGGTGTAATCGTTGTTTGCTTTGCTGACGGATCAGTGAACACAGACAAATCCAAAGGCATTCTTTGTCTCATTTTATTCACCTTCTTAGTTTTATTGTCAGCTGTAAAAAATAATGAAAACATGTTAAAACTACCGTAATTGTAAATACCAGTAATTCACATTTGAAAAAACGAAAATAATTTTTGCTAATGTCTTGAATTTTTTCATGTGGTAATTTTATGGTAAAGATATTTTCAAGTAGCTACTGATAACTAAAGAGCTAATATTGGGAGTGGAAATTATTTCTGTCAAAAATGGGGTGCGACTATAAATTTCTTTTTCCACCTCATTTTAGATATAAAACCAGATAGTAGGTATGAAACATTAAAACCAGTTTGAATTTCTATATCCTCATTCTAGTTGGGTTAGAAAATAAAAAAAAAGAAATAGTAACTTACTGTAAAAATCAGTTTCATCGACAATCTCAGATTTAATGATTTCTTCTATGACATCTTCTAATGTAACAATACCAATAACTTCATAGAATGGATCCCCTGTTCCTTCATTATTAACACGTTGGACTATCGACATGTGAAATGCACCTGCAATGAAATTGGCAAAAAAGTTTAAATTGTTTTATGATATAACAACTCTCAGAGATGATAGAATTTTATTTCATATCTTAAGTCAGGAATTTGTTTGGTTGTTTAGAATTATGCTAAGCAATTTATAACAGCAAAATGATTATGATACAAAAATTAATATAATTCAGAGATGATCAATTGCTCATTTTTTTCGACGAGACAGCATAATGAAATTCATAAAATGACCATAAAGTATAGACAAGATAGTGTATAAACTATTGAACAAATTTTGGTACTCCTGAAGTATGTGAACCAAGAGGGCGGACACAGAAACGTAGTATGTGTACCAAGTAAGGGCCGTAATTTTATTCCAATTTTTCTTATTTTAGTTCTATCACGAGTTCGGGTACTAGCCTAAAGACTCCTGTAGTTTTTGTACCTAATATTATGGCCTGACCCTAACCAGGTACACATACTACGCTCTGGCGTCCGCCATCTTGGTTCACATACTTCGGGTGTACCCAAATTTTTTCTCCAAAATGAATTTAGTTCAAATAATTTCTAACTAGATTTATTTTTACCCATACTGTATTATTGTATTTTAAAATAAGAACTGGAATAGAACAAATGTGAAAGTTGAATGAACTCAAATTTGAAGTATAATATGTGTTAACTTAAAAAAATGACCGGTGCACTTTTTTATGATAGCATAAGAACTTTTATATCATTTCTCAGTCAAGTCATACTTCATCAAGAATACCAAACAAATTACAATTGTCTAATATGCAAAACAGCCTAAATATATAAAAACTCATCAAAAATTAATGATGCAACTGGCGTATTCATCCATACAGCATATAGACTTTTGTCCTCCGACACTTAAGACTATCAATTACAGTAAAGTTTTGACTATGGGATAGTTGAACTATCAATTATGGTGAGAAATATTTATCAACTGGTGATCAATTTTACATTATAGAACGGCAGAAGCCTAATATTCCCTACAGAATCTTGGATCAGTCACATTAACTAGTGGTACAAAAACCACAATACTTCCATTAGCATTTAACACAAAAGGCTGCCATACTTATTTGCAACTGTTGCTGTGATTACTAAGTTAACGCAAATTTTATTAATAGAGCGAGAATTCTTATAAGGCTTCATAATATATACTTTGCAATCAGATTTAAATGGAAAATAGTCTGAGCTGATTTATGCCTGGTTAACTGACCTTTATCAGGGTTCAATGTGATAGCACCCATGAGTGATGGCCGAAACTAAACATTGTACTTGTATATCCTCGCAAACAAGTCAATGTCGCATATAAGCTGACACCCCAAAAGCGGCCCTAAAACGATGAATTTATAAAAATTCGCATATGTAAGCTGACCCTATAAATCGTACGTTCTTTTCGTGAGAACTTAGCATGGTTCGAGTTATAGATCTTGGAATTAAGTTAGCATAATATAAGTATTTACCTAGTTTATAACCATTGTTTAGTGAAATTTTTAAGAAACTTGCCTTTTTTAAACTCTTCCAGTAATTTATCCAGTGTTGTGTCATTGAAGACAAAATGCAATGGATGGTTATAAAACTTCGAGACAGTTTTCAGTGGCATGCAGTCATCTGGATCAACGAAAGCTAAATCTTTCACAAACAAGAGAGCGACGATATTCGTACGATCTGTTTCAAAGACTGGAATTCTAGTGAAACCTCTGGAAATAATCTCTTGCATTGACTAGAAAGAAGAATAGATAGGAATTTAATATTTTAGTAACATGTAATTGCAAAATTTATTTGTTTAGATTAATACTGAAGGATTCATTGACAATTCAGAGATGGCCAAAGTGAATAATCAAACATTCCGATTTTTTTACAAGATGCTTATTTATGCCTTTTGTTCCGAAGAAGACAACCATACACAGTTATCTGACAATATTTCAAGAGCTGGAGGACGGAAATCTTCAAGGTTTAGCATCGCTGACCCTATTTACTGCAATTTGGGTGTGGAGGTGAACATGTTGTTGGGAGAGCCAGAACTAACTAGGAACTGCAGATGGGGCAATTAGCCTTACGCAAGTGAGAACATTTGGTGTAACCCAAAGTCAAAAGGTGATAGTCTCTTGCAACACCTAGTGGACATAAACCCACGAGTATGTGTGCCAATAATGCACTTCGTAAATCAATGACCAATACAATGAGATTTGTATGTTAAGCCAACATGATTATGTTCTAACGCCTAATCGCCAACTGATTAATCGCGCCCTTGGATGATATTTTCGTATATGGAAGATTGAGTGTAATGACAAACAACACATGGAATTCAATGTATATTCAATGAGTTTGTTTCAGAAATGCAGGAAAGTAGCAGATAAACTATTTTGACAATTTTCAGAAATTAAATTTTTGGTCATACTGTGAGAAGACTAAATTTTTCCCAAATTTAAAAAATTAAAAATATTAAATATGATTAATTTTGATTCGTTTAGGATCACTATGCTCATTTTATTAAAAAATATTTTTAATAATAACTTAACAATTTAAATATATTCCCACGATGATTGAAGATATATTAAATTATAGAATTAACTCAATATACTCCACAGAAATCTATTAAAATCAATAACTAATTTCACATGTGAGAAAACAGATCAAAAGGATCTCTAGGATAAGAGACTTCTATGTGAATCATTTGTAGGAGGAATGATAATTATATTGAAAGAATAAAAATTGAGTTTTAAATCTATTGGTGAATACATGAAACCATACGAGTATGAGAGAGAAAATATTAAATATATCCCATATATAATACGTGTTTAGGATTACATTGACCCCAGAGTTATTTTATTGTGGGTAGGATGGTGGGAAAACACATGTCAGTTTCATTTACTAATCTGTCAGTTAGCAAGTAAGTGAAGGGATTAGCGCGATGAAATACAAATGGAAATCAATAAAAGTATCAAATTATATTAGGAACAAGGGAATCATATTATATTATACAGTGCTTCAGAGCCACCGTGTGATTGGTAGCAAATTTAGTAAAATAATTACATAAAATATGAAATAATAGGTATAGCCAAAACCGAATATTTCACTATTCCAAATACATTCTAAATTGGGGGCAAGTTCATGTGTAAATTACATGAATCGCTATATCTTCATGTTGATCATATCTAAAACTACCGTATGTAATCATAATGGTCGTTATTTTCTCTGTGTTTTTTGTTACCAGTTGAGATATAGTACGTTATGATCTTCTTGTCTGACAGCTTAAAATCCCTAACTTTTAAATAAAAATGTTCTCAATTATCCCTAAATTCAAAAATTACTACCATCATATATAGTATTCGAATCATTTTAAACAAGCTTTAGTAATGAATAAAATGTATAACAGCATAACATTAAGAAGGTCATGTAAGATGCTTACACATCCTAACAGCCTATTCAAATAATATATACCGGTATATTATAACTAGGGAACTAATATCACCACAATGGAATATATTTTACCCCAAAATCCAGTACTGAGCATATATCGACCATGTAACAATCCTCTATTGTTGTCATAACGTCTTCAACAGTTTTGGTCCTCAATTCAAGGGCACCTTGTATCATATTGACTTCATCTTTTGCAAGATCGTTGTAGGGATCCGTAACCTTGAGTAAATAAGAGAAGAATTTGATGTTTACAAACATAAAGAATAGTTTCGATATTTCTCTCCGACAGAGTATAGTATAAGATAACATTCTAAAAAAAAATTTCTGTTCAAAATCGATGTTACAGTAACGGCACACTACAAGGTTTTACTTATGGTAGGTAAATAAATTATCATTGATTAGCAAAATCCTAAAAAGTTTTCTCAATATAACCCCTTGCATATGAGACTATAAAAATAATAACTGCAAAAACAAAATCACCAAATGAATTTCAGAATATGAAAAGGAGTCAAATTAGCAATTTAGCAGCAGGAAGTTATTACCTTAATCATCTCAAGAAGTTTAGCTCTATTGTAAATTGTTCCGAGTTCTTTCCCGAGAATAGAATCCAATATTTTACTGATGGGGTATGATAGCGGTGCAGTGACCAACATGAAAAATTTCGTCAACCAAATTGTGTATGCTCCAATTCTTAGACCGTGACGTGTACATATTGACTGTGGTACTATCTCTCCAAATATAACAATAGCTGTAGAACAAAGGTATATTGTACAATACGCTTTATTAAAAATACAGACCAGGTGTGTAATAACATACATAATATAGCATTGTTACTTCTTACTTGATTACTCCCAAAGCCTTAAAATCAGTAATTAGTGATCATCAGGAGGTTAGGATGTGTATCCTATGTAAAAATCTTGAAACAGTTCCAAAATTAAAATAGGAAAATACTAAAATAATTCATGATAAATGCAAAATTGAAACTGTAAAATTTTTACAAAAATAATTTTTTTTTCCTATTCAATTCAAATCATGCCAAAAGCCAACTTTTTAATGAGAAGAATTATTATTACAATTTTCTTGATTAATAAAAACTGTGATAACAGTAATTTTTTTCAGGGTAACTAATTTTAAATGCTGTTATTGCGAATTTTTAATATCAGTATCATAAATAAGTCTAAATATTATGAGTTATGACTATTTTGGATTTGCAACTCTCACACAGCACTGATATATTTCTGCAAGGTTTCATTTGTTTCAAGTCAAACTTTCTGCAAACATAATTGATAATTCAACTATCAATTACAATATGAATATTTTATAACAATGCCTTGTTAACAATAGCACACTGATAAACAAAAAAAAACTAAAAAAGGTATGAATTTAGTAAACAGCAAAAGTATAAATATAGGATTTTATTGCAATATAGGAATATCACAGAGGCAGTCGTATTTTCAAAATTATTATTTATGTTAACACAGTAAAACACAAGAACATGGTATTACATATTGTAAAATCACAATGCAATTTGAGACATTTATTATTGATTTTATGTAGCAACACATTGTTGGGTCAATAATCTGACAGATTACATTACATTTAAATCATTGGTAGTAATTTAAAAATCAATAGGTTACTGATACTACCTCTGCATGTACATTGAATTTGCAAATTCAATCTTTCTATCGTAACTTGACATAACAATAGTTTAAGTAATAACAAAGATACATGTACTGTTTGAAAACACTAAAACCATTGGCAGGACAATACTAATAATATAAAATATTAATAAATTGTATTCATGGTATGAATTTGACACTGTATATCATTTTATGCTAAAGACTAATTTTTTCCTGGAAGTCTTCTTGGGTTCGCTTTTCATTTATTTCATTTCATTATTGTTCATTTTATTTATTTATTCCATTTTCTGGTAAATTTATTTTTCATTTGGCATTAAAGTGTTGCTCAATTGTATATATGGAAAGCATTGCAGCGAAAAAAATAGCCAGAGGCCCGCCCATTTGCTTGAGTAACGCCACGCTACAAATTCAATAACTCTCTGATTGGCACACAAGCGCGACTTACACACCTCGAAGTAATTTCTGGTAAAATGAATATTTAGTAAAAACGATTGTTTCATATTATAATTTAATTTTACAGCTACAAAAGAACTATGGTAAATGTTGTTTAGTATTTGAGCATGTCCTTGAATCACAAGATTTTACAACAATTATTTATCAAAATTTTAGATCGCTTGACAAAAAGGAGTTGGGAACCACTGAGTTAGTGTAAAATTTCAAAATATCTAAGCATTTGTATATCAATATCCCTACTTTCAACTGCAAAACCTAGTTATATATATATTAATTAAACATTCAAATATCACTTTGTATAACGTGACGATCAGGTAAATAGATATAAACCACAAAGGTCATTATTTCGAAATTTATGTGTCCCTAAACAAGCTTTTCAAGTTTAAAACAAACAAATACAAACCAATAGTTGATCCGATAACAGCCCATAATCCAGAAGTAATGTTTTCCAATAGAATAGTCATTGTGTTGTTCACCAGACATTTCCCAATAGCAAAGTGCAGAGAAGTAATTTCCCTTTTTACGAATCGGATAAATTGCTTTGGAATATTTTTTCTCTGCAGTGCTTCCACAGTTTTGAACAATTTTCAACTCCATTGGATCGAGCGCCATAAGTCCAAGATTGAGACCAGAAAATATACCAGACATCAGTAAAAGGACTGCAATGAGCGATATCTGAATTTGAAAAATGTTACATTAACAACAAATACAGTAACAGTACAGTAGTTTTCATTACCTAATGGCTACTATGTTGTGAGGATGAACCATACATATTTCTTCACATCTACTTATTAGAGCTCTTTTCATTTTTAATTGGTAACTCAAAATCAAGCTTTGAGCAAAATTGTATAATAAATGAAAAACAAATGTAAATTTTACTATCACAGTAAAAAATTACATATTTGATAAATACAAAAATAAGCTAAATTTATAGAGAAAATTCAATTATGTCATAATTGTGACGAAGATATTAAAAATTTCATCACAATCACGAGGTTTATTGATTTGAACAAAACGTTGAAATCGATAGTATTTATAAGTTTGCTTTGAGAAATAGATATTGAGTATTGTTTTCAATGTCATTACCTTTTAACCTCTAAAAAATTATGATTTGTCCACAAACTCAATAGTACATACCGGTAATAAGTATTTAACTTGGTGAAGATTATTAGAAGGTGATAATGGAAGACATCTTATGACCTTACAATGATCTGAGATTTTAATTAGTAATGTGAGAATATGATGGATCGAATGAATTGAACTCAAAAATTAAAATATAATCTGCAGAATGGTATCATTTAAACTATTTCTACATTTAATGGCAAAAATCATAACATAACTAATTTGCAACAGTGAGCGCTACTACTCAGTGGTAAAATTTCATGACATCACAAAATCGTGTAAAATTGTGGATTAAAATGAAAATTATTGTAATTTTCGATTTGATTATTCGAAGTACATAAAATTTGTGGAGGTAGACGTTTGTCATTTTCCATCATCTCATTATTACTAATCATGACAAGGCAGACTAATTCACACCTGAATGTGTATGCGGAAATGTACACAACTTCAAAAAGTTGTTGTTTATCATTGGCGGTGTTCAAATAATTTCTTAAACGTGTGAAATATTAAAGAAATCTCTCTGAAACTAAGATTTCTAGAACTTGAATTCTAAAATTTGAATCACTCATTCACAGTGTTTATTAAAAAGTTAACTAAATACAATTATATTGGGCATCTTTAGATGCTGTTCTTTGAACAAAATAAAGAGTCATTAGTTGTTATACAAATTATAAAATATTATGCAGGTAGACAATTGCAATTTTCAGTTAGTATTATGAATTTTTTATGTTCTACTGCAGACAGAACGGCTGACAGTGCACTTTGTTAAATATTTTATAAATAGACTGTATGAAGCCTCTAATAAATAGAATATATATCACAGGTGAAAACTTCTAAAATTCCAAAGCAACAAATACTTACAACTACAATGCAATGACAAAATTTGTTGTATTTTATACTTTGGATAATAGATTGCCAAAATTGAATTATTATACGAAATAGCCCACATCATGCTAAGCGCATTTTTGTGAATATTGAATATTATACATTACTACAATGGAATCCAATAGTCCATGACTTTTTCAGATATTTAAATTTTTTTTATTAAACTATTGCAATACAGAAATCTCGAACACAGTGGTGAAACATTTTCTTATATATATATATTTTATTCCTTTCAAAAAAATAAAAATAATTAACATTATACAACAGCAACATAACTAGAATTATTTTTTGAATTGAATATTCAAAAATATTCCTCTTTGAATAGGGCCTAAAACATATCACAAAGAGCATGCGATTACCTAACTCAATACCAACTAGATATTTACAGCCGCAAAGATAATTGTGAAAACTGCCTAATGATATTTAAGTTAACTAATGTAAAAAACTCTGCATATTATAAACTCTCCAAACTGCATATTATAAACAGGGAGTATACCTGAAGTGGTATAGGCATCAATGTGCCTTCACCATGCGTTTGAATCCTCACAGATATTTTGACATAATTTGCTGACCCTTGGTGCAAATAATGTGATGTGTTGTTATTTTTTACACAGAGAAAAAATAACTGTTGGTCATCTTCAACGGTATGTTTGAGAGTAACAACGACTTTTCCTATGGTTTGTGTAACATTGGTTGATTCAACTGGAAATGAAGGTTGTTCCATATAATCATCACAAATTTCTCCATAGCTTAAAGCTTTCTTTACAAAAGTGATGCGGCTTAATTTTTGCAGATCAGTACCAAACATTACTAGAGTTGTCGGTTGCGGCATGTAGACAATGGGAACACCTTCACTGGTATAATTTCCTGAAAATGATATAACAGATTGACGAATAACGATAATGCAGTAGGATAAAAAATGCTTCTCATGCAAAATAAATATATTTTCGGGTGATGTAAAATGTGAGTTTATATAATGAAGTTATATAAAACATCGATAAGTTTGAATCTATTCGATGACTATCTTTCTCAGTTGTCTATTGTGTGACACATAGTGGTAATCAATTTTGATTAGAGAATCTACTCTCCAAGTTGTACACTAATTGGGAAAATTAATTATTGAAAAATGCAGTTGGTTGAGAATTTTATAGACCAATGTAAACCAAAACTAAACAGTAATTTCACTACCAACTCAATATGCATAAGAAATTACAGTCTAAGAAAAAAAATATGAAATCGTATTCATAATTGGGTTTTATTTCATTTTTCTAAATATTTTATATCTTCAATACAAAAATATCATGATTAACATATATTCAATGTAAAACAAATAGCTTCAACTCCATTTAAATTTAATACTATCTTTTGCAAAATTCATATTATTATCAAATGGATGAAATATTATAAATTTTACCTGAATTTCCCGCCATAAGTCCAGTAACTCGTGAATTTGCTTCTGCGATGCATTGCGAAGGAAAATAAATACAAATAGAAACAAAAGATGGTAGTATCCAATATGCTTATTCAAACCTAAATTATTGCAGTTCATAACATGATGTAACACCATTTCTATGACCAGATGACTGGTATCCGCTTTTTTTACCTGAAATTGAAGAATCAGTTGAGAATGTGCTTAGCAAACCATTATACTGTTATAGTCTAGGCCAGTGGTTCCCAAACTCTGGGTCACATTTTCTCCAATCAATGGTGGAATAAACCCTTAAATCAACAGTCCACTTTTCTCTTGCTTTTATTGGCAGAAAAAATGCTTGTCATTCAATCGAATTATTTTGCATAATATCACTAATAAATGGGGACGATGTAGGTACTTCTAGCTGGCGTGGCACAACCTATTTTGCATATGTTATTCCTAACCCCCACCTGACTACGCTACGTCATTCAAAAATTACATCACTATGACATCACAGCAATGTAATAAGACCCCCCAAACTATACTAACTGTCATCAGGTCTCGTGTAGTTTTATACCTAACATACTTCTAGTGGGCGTAGCATAACAATTTTTTGACATGTTAATCCTAAACCCCACCTGACTACGCCATCCAAAAAGTACGTCACTATGACATCACAATCATGTCACAGAGCTTGCTAAATATATGTACAATCGCCCAAAATGGCATCATCGCCGACGATAAAGAACTGACTAATGTCAGCGATCTCTCTCATATTGGGATCGTTGATAAAACGAGGGAAATACCTGTTCGATTTCGGGTGCTTGTCTGCACGTCTTGGATGACAGTTCGTAAAGTTTGAAGGTAGGATAGGATTTACATATTTATCCCGGGGGAGAGGAAAGCCCGCAAGACTGCTTAATCATATGGCAAACCATGGCCGCTCGTCCAGTTACCTGTCCAGGTCGGGTATGGGATTAGATAGCCAGTTATTTGTTTTCGGAAGCATGAACTTGATGGTGGAGGAAGCCGTAACTGCCAGCGGTTACGTGAACCACCCAACGGCGGCTAGGAGTCCAGCAATCATCTCGCGCATGATCATCCTTGCATGAGATTCAAACCTATGATTCCACGAAGAGTAATCAGAGATGCGGTGGAAAGCGTATTCGGGTCTGGTATAGTTTAGTACCACATGCACTTCTAGTTGGCCTGGCTCAACAATTTTTGCATATGTCAATCCTAACCCCCACCTGACTACGTCACCGAAAAATTTCCTCATTTCGGCATCACAGTAGCGTAATATGGCCCATCAAAGTATGTGGATGGTTGTCCAAAACGCGCAGACGATCACCCGAAATCGAGCAAGCGAATTCTCTCGTTTTCTCGTCACAACGTTCACGATAGGAGAGAGATCACCGGCTTTAGCGAGTTCGTTGTCAACGGTGCAGTAGCCATTTCGGGCGATCGTAATTATAATTTGGCAATCCCTATGACGTGAAGGTGACATCGTAGTTACGTAATTTTTGGATGGCATAGTCAGGTGGGGGTTAGGAATAGCATATGCAAAATTCGTTATGCTACGCCCACCGGAAGTACTTGTTTTCCTAACGTTTAGCACGATGCCCCACATCGCCGGAGCCCGAGGTCTCCATTGCGTCTCCACTGGGATGACACAGTGACATAATTATTAGATGATGTGATCAGGTCTGCAAGTGGGGGTTAGGATTAACATACAGACATATGCTAAAATTGTCAGGGTCTTACTACTTACTGAATACAGCGCGAAACACCGCAAATAGCGCAAAACAGCACAAAAGAGCGCGAAACAGAGGAAAACAGCGCGAAACAGAAGGAAACCAGCGCAAAACAGAGGGAAACACCGCAAAACAGGAGACGCTGTCATTACCACCTCCTGCCACGAAAGAACCACGGCGCCTCTCGCCATGGTTTTATGGCGCTATTTCCGGCATATTTACAAGGTTATGTACCGGATTATAGGTCATCATGCGAAATTTTATCTATCTTTTTGGTGCTCCAGAAGTATGTGCAACAATATGTCGCACAACCTGAATCCGCTACACACACACACACACACGCACACACACGTGCCGGTACTATTTTCAGGTTGTGCGCCAGCTTGGTGCACATACTTCTGGAGGTCCCTTTTTACCTAACCCTAACCCTAAAGCCAACCATATCCATATGGAAAATGTTCTAAATTATGGTACCCAAAATGTTTCACCAGCAGGGGCAGGCCTGCCATTACAGAATTTCTGGCTACATACGTTGGTTTGTGTTTTTAATTTGCTGCCGTGGTACTCCAACTCAAAACAAGGTGCCCCGAACTCGTTGCAAAATTTTTTTCCGCTTCACACTGTTTCCCTCTGTTTTGCGCTCTTTCGCGCTGTTTCCACACTGTTTCCCTCTGTTTTGCGCTCTTTGCGGTGTTTCGCGCTGTATTCAGTAAGTAGTAAGACCGAATTGTCATGCTACGCCCACTAGAAGTACTTTACACTGAACCCCTATCATCCAACTGTTCAAGAGGAGCAGACGATCACCCAAAATCAAGCAAGCTATTTCTCTCCTTTCCTCGTCATAACGATCCCGATATGAGAAAGATCACTGACGTTAGTGCAAGCTCTTTGATGTGATTGCAGGATTGTGAGGTTGTTGTGAGTTGTGACATACCGTCATCTTTGGATGACGGAGCCAGGTGGGGGTTAAGAAAAACATATGTAAAAATGGTTGTGCCACACCAAATAGAAGAACGGCGTCTAGTGAATATGTTGCAATAAATGGATTTATATCCTGTATGTATATCTATATTACTGTATTATGAAAAGTGACATTACTATTACGGTACCGGTGGCGGTACTAAGGCTATCCGCTTATTCATCAGGGATACAACCAATGATGAATGAGTTTATGATATTCTGTACCGGTTACCGGTATACTCTGACGCATTATTTGATATTCAATCCAATATTATTGACATAAATTAAAATATGCGCGGTACCGTACCGGTACTGGTAAATAGATTGTTACCGTACTATTTACTGTAACGTACCGGTACCGGTACTAAATAGTTAAATTGTTCAACTCATTTCTGCCTTTAGAATACCAAGATTAAATGAACCCACTAACGCCAGTCGTCAGCGATCTCTCTCACATCCGGATCGTTTCACAGAAATTAACCCTACATGCAGACATGTGTGCAAACTACTGTGCTGTACTAAAGGACTATCCAGCTACTACGGTATTACACCACATGCTGCACTGAATGACTAACAGTAACGAAGTCATAGGCAGGCGGTAATGATAGAATAGATTATGAACTCGCTCAATATTTATATCGGATCATACGCATTGCATCGGATAGGTGTCGCTCGGGATATTTCCCATGGCATTGATTTCCTTATTTATATCCGTCACAGTGCTCAATTAGCTAAGAGTCAACGATGACCTGATGACGTAACAATCGTGATTTTCCAGACGCTGAGGCATTTCGTTTGCTCAGGAATTTATGCATGGTTCAATCAATCAATCAATTTTATTTCGCTCACTCTGAAAGAAACAAAACGAACAACAAACAAAATGTAGAGAACCTGGAGAACGGGCATAACTTAATAAAAAAGTTACAAACGTACAAGTACGTGCCCGTCCACCAAAAACAGTCAAAAAAACACAATAAAACAAAAGTACGATGTAAAATATGGCAATACCTTTTGCATCAATTTTAGAATGTGAGACGTGTATCTGTATAACAACAGTGCTTTTCCTACCAAAATATGGAATAAAAAACACTCGTTGAGGTAAAATGGTGATGCTGTAGTTCAATTTCATTGAAAAAATAACACAGTGACAAAAAATTGTTACTGAAAAACAAGCTCGTTAAATAGATTGAATGTTCCATAACAGTCCACGCACAAATCATGGACTGAGGTATCGGGCTCCCTTGTCGTTTTCGATTAGTTCAATTTAAAATCATTGTATCCGTTCCAATGCTTCCAGCATTAATATTGAATTTCCACGAACGACCACCATTCCAACAGTTGCAGTGGTCCAAGTCAACCAACGACTAACGGGACCAACAGTAAATACCGAAACACACAGCGGTAGCATTCTCTAAGACTTTTCAAGTAACCACGTCCGCACCCGACGATGCTCGGAACCATTAAAAAAATATTTTTCAACTTTTATTCAATTTTGTAGAATATTTGCGTCATTTATTAAAAATCAGGTAATGGGTCTTGTATCTTGCATTCGCCATGACAAGTATTGAAAGCATTATATTGAAATATATGCTGGAATTCGAATGCGCCAGAGAGAAAAACTTGCGTTACATGCATGGAGGTGTCAATTTTTTTGCTAACCGGGCCGAGTTTCTCATAATATTGCCCCTCATACCTAACTTTAAAAATAATAAGAGAGATAAACAAATTATAGTTTTTGTTATACATGGATATGAACCAATCAATGATCAAGTGAGAGTGGAATATTTGTATTATTATTATTTCGATCATCTAACTAAGCAACAAACTCACCCCTAAATCGTGCTTCCCGGGGCGGCTGCCTCTATGTCCCTTACCTAGACACTCCCCTGGTTATATGTCACAGGCAACTTTAGAAATGATCCTTCCCCAATCCGCTATTTTAAAGCTGTTTTTGATGATAATTTAATCTCATCTTGCAGAACACTCCAAGTTGTATTCAGAACGGAAAGTTGGACTTCTGTTTTAGTTTGAATGAAAAAATGTGGAGTGGGTGGAATTGCATAAAACACTTGAAGTTTATGCTTGAAAGCAAAGTATAAGTTGGAAAAGTAATGCAATTGATTTAGGCTATGCACTTGATTTTTAACATTGTGAAATGCGAATGGGGTTGGGCATTTCAGAATCGAATAGTAAATTTTTGGAATCGTCCGGACGAAAATTTCGAATCGCCGCCATCTTTTTTCTTGTTCACTGAAGAGCTAGGTTGCGGGATTTTTTTGTTGAGGCATATTTCTTACAATACAAACTGACATGCGAGTGATTTATTGATGAAACAGGTTTCTTATTCTGTGTGAACACAAAACCAACTGTCTGAGTGATGGAGTGTATGTTTTCAGTAGTTCAATAAAAAAGTGGCATTCAGATACCAAACTTTCAAGTATTCGAGATTTGATTCGGAAAATATTCGATTTAATTGTAAAACCACTAGGTATTTGAA